GTATACATATCTCCCTGGCATATTACATAATTTATGCAGCAACATACAAGACATTGTTGAACTCACCTTGTTGTGCTGTGCTCACTTGAACAGGAAGCTGGTGCGGCGGTCCTTGTGGGCAAGTTTTTTCATCAAACTTTGTCATCAAAGTCTGGCGTTATCTGTATATATGGTGCTTTCAAGACAACTGGGCTCTGAAAAAACAAGGTTGAATCATGACGTGAGTGATCTTCAGATCGGAGCTCTAGAAAGAGGCCAGAGTTCCCGACTTGGAATTCCGAGTTGGATGACCGTTCAAAACATATTTTCCCAGTCGGAGCTAGTTTTTTTCAGAGTTCCCAGTTGTCTTGTTTTGAACGTGGCAGAAGTCATGCTGGTGTCATGACTTGCCCTCATGGGTTGAGGATCAAACTTTCCTGCTAGGCAAAGGTTTGAACACCCCGTTTCCTGGGGGCCAGTTATATGACTTAACAGCCGGTCATAAATAGTTTGCAGAAAAGGACTCCTTTTGGTCTCTATTATGGGAAGAAAGAATTTCCCTGTGAGACAAAGGAAGTCTTCCCGCCAAGACTCCAACATCCAAAAGTGGATAATGAAACAATATTCCTACTTAAAAGAATGTGGGAAATGGTCAGTGGGGATCTAAAGAATAATCATGTCATATTGTTTATTATTTTATGTTGTCATTAAGGATGGTATCAAGTAATAACTGTAACTCGGAAAGTGTACATATTCTATCTATCAAGATTACATCTAAATGTTGTATAAAATATATGATTAAGTATGAGAGTATTTTGGTGAAGATAGGAATGTGATTTTAGTCTTCTAATGAGATAATAGTTTTTCATATAAACTATGCACAGTGACTAGCCACACCCCGAGTGACATCAGAGATCGTGTAAACATGATGGAACGCCCCTTTTACCCCGAGTGCATAAAAAGCCTTGAAAAACAAATCAACCTTTAGACCAGCAGACGTGAAGCGTGAACAAAACATTGCAAATGGTTGAATTTCTACCAGACCAGTAAGCCCCACGGCTTAGAATGGTTGACACTCTACAAGACCAAGAAGCGTGAAGCTGAAGCTACACGTTACAAAATGGTTAGACTAGAAAGACCAGAAAACATGAGACGTTAGTCCACACGTTTGAAATGGAGAAACTCTGAAACTCTCAACCTCTACACGAGGTGAAGAAGAAGACAATGCACTAGACCTTATCATTTAAGTCTGCAGCGGGCATGTATAGTCGTCTAGAGAACTTTCACTCAAGACACGAGATAAAGGACAATCCCTCTCCGACAACCGCTGGTACATCTGAAGTATCCATTCTAACCACTACTATGACCAGAAACTCTACCAAGGACATTGAGATCTCTGGTGGGCAAACTAGAGTCCTACATCATCAACTCAACTATCGAGGACAGCAACACGTAAATACATGTTGCATTTCTAATCCGAATGAGCGTTATTAGGGTGCATAAGTATTATGATTACTGTGAGCATAGTATCCAAAGTAACCACAATAGTTTGAATCTCTCTCCCTTCCACTCTGACCCTCCTTCTACCCAAGCATTCAAGCTAATGTTAGTCCAGTCCACTAGGGACCTGTTTTCATTCATTAGATTCCCACGGGGGGCCAGTATGAAAAAACTGGATAAGAGCATCTGCTAAATGACTAAAATGTAAAAATGTAAATACATAATTAAGCCAATTTGTGTATTGCTGATTCATCAATAAGGTTAGGGTTCTTGCAGGTTCAAGGATTATGCGACGTTCAGAATGAGACTGATATGAGATAATTATTTAATAAGTGACTGTTATCGATATATAACACATATATCTTCTAAGAGTTTAATTCGGGAGATGGTAACTCGTTAAACAACTTCTTCCGTGGTGCCCCAAATTCCTAATGAGTTAATTGTTACATGATTAATTTATTTGAGTGACAATTAAACATAGATAGGTGATTCGATAAATAATAGTCATACATTTAAGTAAGTAAGTCACGACACTGGATTGACAGCATTGCCAATGTAGTCAACCTTTTCTGGCCCATGGTGTTGAATGTTTATCATTTTAAGCTTGGAAAAGAGACCCTTAAACCCATACTTGGACCACACACCCACTCCACTGAATAGCAGGCTAGTGATTGCTTTGCAACGCTTGCAGTTAGCCACTGATTCCTTCCAAACCACTCATTGCTGAATTTGCGATTTCCAACTTGTTGTGTAGTGTTTATGTCCAATGGCCGTTGAGCCATTGAATTTCTCTTCATATGACAAGAATTGAAAAGGATTTGCCAGTAGATTGTCGACTTGATTCATGATGATGACTGCTTGTCTAGCTTGCTGGCTAAAATTTTGAAGGTATGATGTTGACATGATCAGTCCAATCAAAGCTACGGTAGATATAACGTGATTTGACGTCATTTTATCTGTGGCCAATGACCTTGAGCCTTCTTGGATGGGCACTTCTAATGTAAATCTATGGCAGCAACCAAGGGGCTTGAATTTTCGATCTCTCCCTGTAGATTTTGCGGTGAAGTAGTGTCCACACGAGTGACAGAACACTGAGCCAATCACGCCGCAACTAGAGAACATTACCAACCCATACACTCCGTATTTTCCACTGGCTGCCCCACCACCACAGAAAGCACTGAGCTAGGCTGAAACACCTGCATTTTGGAGCTGCCTTACTCAAGAAAGCAAAAAAGAGACCATGTTTGTATGCGGCTTTATTCACTCAATTATTTTATTTATTTTTACATTGTTTGCAAACTGATATGTGACACATATTAATGCCAAAATAACATGCAAAACTGCCCTGAATGATGTGTCGCAACTGCATCAACTTGATTGCAGGCAGATTTTTTCTTGAGCGATGGTCAGGGGGCCGGGAACATTATTACAAATAATTTGTAGACTGCAAATTTACCGCAAAAAGCCCAAACAGATATAATATTTGACTAAAACAAAATCATTTGAAACCTTTCTGACATTTATATACGACCACATACACTGAGTGCACAGAACATTAGGAACACCTGCTATTTCCATTACATAGACTGACCAGGTGAATCCAGGTGAAATCTATGATCGCTTATTGATGTCACTTGTTAAATCCACTTCAAGCAGTGTAGATGAAGGGGAGGAGACAGGTTAAATAAGGATTTTTAAGCCTTGAGACAATTGAGACATGGATTGTGTATGTGTGCCATTCAGAGGGTGAATGTGCAAGACAAAAGATTTAACTACGCCTTTGAACGGGGTATGGTAGTAGGTGCCAGGTGCACCATTTTGAGTGTGTCAAGAACTGCAACGCTGCTGGGTTTTTCACTTTCTACAGTTTCCCGTGTGTATCAAGAATGGTCCACCAACCAAAGGAGGACATCTAGCCAACTTAACACAACTGTGGGAAGCATTGGAGTCAATATGGGGTAGCATCTCTGTGTAACGGGGGGGGGGGGGGGGGGGGGGGGGCAACTCAATATTATGAAGGTGTTTCTAATGTTTTGTACACTCAGTGTATCCTGTATCTCTCTATTATGCGTGGGAATACTTTGGAACAGATTTCCAAAATTGTCACGGATTCTGCCGAGGCTGCTCCTCCTCCTAGTTCAGGCAGGCTTCGGCGTTCGTCGTCCCCGGAGTACTAGCTGCCACCGTTGAATGTTTCTATGTGTGATTGCTTTTGTCTGTCTGTCACACCTGTGTCCGTTTGTGTCTGATTACGTGTTCTATAAGTTGCCTGTGTTGTATTGGTTAGGTTGTGTGTTGTTTTTCGCCTGTCCGTAGTGCTGCGTGTTTTTTCTCTGTTTTGTTGTTTTATTGTTTTACGCATAGTTTGCGTAATAGCTCGCCTCTGTTTTGTTTGAGGCCGATCGTTGTATCTTTGCCTTGTGGTACACAAGTAAACTTTGTTGGACTAGCTTCGGTGTCCTGCGCCTGACTCCCACACCACCTACACCTCAGCCTTGACAAAAATTAAAATCACTTGGAGCTGATTTGCTGGTGTTCTTACCTTCTTTTATGTCCAACAATAAAACATTTAATAAATAATACATTCTTTCTCAGAGAATTAAGGGGACCAAATAAAATCCACCATGGGCCAAATTTGGTCTGTGGGCCGCCAGTTGGGGAACCCTGTTCTATAGGCTACTGTTGCTTCTTTAACTTTGTGAATACTGTTTGTAAGCCTATAAGTGGTTTAAATGTGTTTAGAAACAAATACGTCTCCAATTTCACATCTTTAAGATGTAGGCTGCTATATTTTTTACAGGACAAACAAGCTGAGATATGCAATCCTATCAGGTAGACTAGGCTACTTGAGTTATTTTCCAGGAAGAGGCCTTTCCAACAAATACTTCTCAGACATCATTTGACCTCATTCAGATTATCACTGCGGTATGTACAAACACACATGCAGCACACACTATTGTATGTTACACTTGATCATCGCTTGTTGGATCCCTTATACCAAACATTTTAGTAAAAACAGAAGACAAAATTAAATATACACAAAACATATTTTATTGTAAGATAATGTAAAATAATGAGCATCCTGAAATACTACAACCTGTTTTTGATTGAACCTTCATCTGACTGGCCTTTTGTGGATAGGCAATAAGAAGGTGTGTCTATTTTAGTATGGGGAACAGGTCACAGATGGTGAAACAATGGAGCGAGTGGAAAAAGGGAACATACAAGTTGTAAAAAATAGGTCTTGAGACTTTGTTTATCTTAAAACAAGCACTATCCATAGCCGTGGGAAGAAAGGTGCTGAGCCTGATAAATCCTATTTAGTGCACGAGGCCTTTATTACTCCTGTGTTAGCAGAGCAAAATACTCATCAGCAGAGCGGGGAGACATTTCAGCACCCCCACCCCAAAACATCTTCCCGCCACCATGGCACTATAAGGTCCACAAGGGAAGAAAAGGTTGGGTAAAAAGAGTCTTGGTTATGCATGGAGGTTTGTGTGTGTTTCTGTTCCTGTCACGCTCTAGTTCTCTTCTCTGTACTCTCCAGCCCCCTTGATGAGGCGCTTGTTGCCCCTCTTCCCTCCTGGCCCACGTGGCTTGGCGAACGCCTGTTTCAGAGTGTGTTCAACGGGATGGACCTCCTCATTCAGAAACTCCTTCATCAGCCCATCCTCACCGTCAATCTCCATCTGTATGCGTGCACGCATACACGCATACACACACACACAAATACACACACACACCCACACACACGCAAACACACACACGCACAGAAGGAGAGAGAAACACAACTAATGGAAGAGGGAGAAAGAGAGAACACTGTTGAAAAACAAGATCAGTATACATGCCCACTCCCTTTTAACTGTGATATTGTAATGTAAAATAAAGATGGGTAAGATGGAGAGTGTGTAATTGTAGAACCTTTTTGGTGATCGCTAGACAGCAGTCTCTCTCCACCTCATCCAGTAGCTGGTTCTTACAGCTGGAGTACAACATCCGCTCTTTAATGCTACAGCTGTACCCTGGCATGGAGTAGATGGACACAGAGAGAGACAGAAAGAGAGAAGGATGACGGGAGATCCTATAACCTTTCAGTTATGTGATGTTTGGTGTGTGTGATACTGACCTAGAGCCTCCTGTTGCTGAAACAAACTATCCCAGCTCGGAGTCGGCTCAAATAGGCATCTAGAGACGCTGCTGACAGTGTGTGTTTGCGAGAGGCTGTCAGCCAGCCCCAGCCGTTCATCTCGGCGTCTCCGAGTGGAGGTGACGGAATGTTGTTATCAGCCCTGGGTCCAGAATTACCCTCCTGGGCACCCAGGACCGCGTGGAGAGCCACACCCTCTGTCCTGGGCGAAAGACCGGGGCTGGGCGAAAGACCGGGGCCGGGCGACGCCTGCGGTTGGCCTGATGTTGAGACCTGACCGAGGCCCGCTTAAGCGCCGCCCGTACCTGCCTCCAGGTGCGGCGATAGCGACTGATGTGGGCCCTGGACCGACGGGACCGCCGCCTCCTCCTCTTGCTTGGGGAATAGGGGGGGTTTGTACCCGTATTGGCACTGGAAGGGGTACAGGCCGGTTGACGAGCAGAGAAGAGTGTTGTGGGCGTACTCCGCCCACGCCAGTCGCTGACTCCACGTAGCTGGGTTGCTGGAGGCGTAGCACCTCAGCACCCCCTCCAGATCCTGGTTGACGCACTCCATCTGCCCGTTCGACTGGGGAGGGAAGCCGGAAGACAAGCTGACGGAGGCGCCAAGGCAGGTGGCGAACGCCTTCCAGAACCTGGAGGCGAACTGAAGGCCCCGATCCGACGCACATCTTGGGGAATGCTATGGACCCGTAAAACGTGCTGCACCACCAACTTAGCCATCTCCCGGGCCGACGGGAGTTGGGGAAGGGGAATGAAGTGGGCAGACTTCAAGAACCGGTCCACAACGACCAGGATTACTGTGTATCCATCAGAGGGGGGTAGGGCGGAAATGAAACCCAGCTAGATGTGGGACCAGGGGCGCTTGGGGATAGGCAGGGGTCGGAGCAGCCCTGCCGCGGGCTGACGTGAGCTCTTCGTGCGTGCGCACACCGGGTAAGCAGCCACGAAGGCGTGCGCATCCCCCTCAACAGATGGCCACCAGAACCTGCTACGCAGGAACTCCAACATCCTGGCGCTTCCTGGATGGCTGGTGAGGTTGGGCGCGTGCGCCCACTGAAGCAGTCACGAGCGAGCAGCCTTGGGTACGTACATCCTCCCCGATGGACCTCCGCCCGGATTGGGCTCCCGCCGTAGCGCTGCTCTGACCAGCCTATCAATTCCCCACGAAACTGGGGCAGCAATCAGGGCGTTGGGGACAATGGGGTCGTCCCTCTCCACCAGGTCCATGGCGTCGAACTGCAGGGAGAGCGCGTCAGGCTATGTGTTCTTTGACCCCAGACGGTATGAGATGGTGAACCAGAAAATGGTGAAGAACAACGCCCACCTGGCCTGGCGCGAGTTGAGCCTTTTGGCCCCCTGAATGTAGGCTAAGTTCTTGTGGTCAGTCCATACGACGAATGGATGGTCGGCCCCCTCTAGCCAATGCCTCCACTCCCCCACGGCGAGCTTGACCGCTAGCAGCTCATGGTTCCCCACATCGTAATTCCGCTCCGCCGGGAACAGCCGACGGGAGAAAAACGCACAGGGGTGAGTCTTACCGTCCGTAAGGAACCGCTGGGACAGGATTGCTCCCACCGCAACGTCTGAAGCATCCACCTCCACAATGAACGGCAGGAACGGATCAGGATGCCCGAGGACCGGGGCCGATGTAAACCGCCGCTTAAGCGCATCAAATGCGTTCCCCGCTTCCGGGGTCCAGGCGATGGAGCGTACGCTCGTCTTGAGAGGACTGTCAGGGGAGCGGCTAGGGAGCTAAAATTGCGAATAAATCACTTATAAAAATTTGCAAACCCTAAAAACCGTTGTGGTTGCTTGAGGGATGAGGGCTGGGGCCAATCCAGTACCGCGCTAACCTTGGCTGGGTCCATCCGTAGGTCCCCCTGTGTGACGATGAACCCCAGGAAGGAGACGGTCTCTGTGTGGAACACACACTTCTCCGCCTTGACGTAGAGCTGGTGGCGGAGAAGGTGTTGGAGGACCTGCCGAACATGCTGCTGGTGTTCACTCATGTCTTTCGAAAATATTAGGATGTCATCCAAATACACGAAGACGCTGTAGTCGAGGAGGTCCCGGAGCACGTTATTGACCAACGCCTGGAACACCGCAGGCGCGTTGGCTAGACCGAACGGCATGACTTGGTACTCGTAATGCCCACTGGGTGTGTTAAAAGCCGTCTTCCACTCGTCCCCCTCCCGAATCCTCACCAGGTTGTAGGCATTACGTAAGTCCAGCTTGATGAAGACCCGGGCTCCCTGCAACGACTCGAATGCCGTCGTCATCAGGGGGAGTGGGTAGCGGTTCTTAACCGTGATGTCGTTGTGCGCCCGGTAATCAATGCATGGCCGCTGCCCACCGTCCTTTTTCCCCACGAAGAAGAAGCACGCGCCCGCGGGTGAGGTAGAGGGACGGATGTGGCCCTCGACGAGTGCCTCGTCGATATACTCCCTCATGGCCAGCGTCTCCAGCCGGGACAAGGAAAACAATCACCCTCGTGTGGGCATGGTGCCCGGCAGGAGATCAATAGCGCAGTCGTAAGGCCTGTGAGGAGGTAGGCCCTTGGCACGCCTCTTACTAAACACCTCCCCCAGATCCCAATACTCCCGAGGAATGCCTGCCAGGTCTGGGCCGGTGACGGAGTTTGTAGCCGCCGTCCTCCCGGTGGGCTGATGAGTGGTCAGTGGAGACCGGAACAGGACGGGGGCAGAGCCTCCCTCCAGGGTGAGCCGCCCCGTGGACCAGTCTATTTGTGGGCGACCAGCCAGTGGTGCCCGAGGATGAGGGGACACTCCGGAGAGTCCACAATGAAAAACTGGATATCCTCCCATAGCCCCCCCCACCACCTGGACATGCACGGGGACAGTGCGCCGGGTGATGAAGCCCAACCCCAACGACCGGCCGTCCAGGCCCATGACCGGAACCGGCTCGGAGAGGGAGAGTAACGGAACGCTCCACCCTTGGGCCAGCCCCGCGTCCATCAGGTTTCCCGTGGCCCCAGAATCCACCAGTGCATGCGCCCGACGCGCAGCGCGGGCCCACTGAACCCTGACGGGGAGAAAAGTCTGGGAGTCTCTGGGGTTGGGGTTTCGGTTCCGGCTCGCTAGCAGCCCTCCCGATACTAGCGAGCCCTCACGTTTCTCGGCTTCTCTGGGCATGAGTCGCAGTGGTGACCTGCCTGGTCGCAGTACAGGCAACGTCCCTGGAGCAGACACCTCTGCCTCTCCATCCTGGACAAGTGTGCCGCCCCCAGCTGCATAGCCTCCTCCTGAAGCGTCTCCTCCCTGAATCGGCGGAAAGCCTCCGGGTTGATAGGGGGACGCGGAGGCACGCCTTGCGTCATCCCTCTCTCATGCGCCCTCTCACGACGCCGATTGTCTACCCGCACCGAGAGTTCGACGAGGCCGTCCAGTCACTCAGGCAGATCCCTGAAGGAGAGTTCATCCTTCATCCCCTCTGATAGCCCTTGGGCGTAAAGGACAACCAGGGCGGCCTCCTCCCATCCTGCCTCTCGAGCCCGGGTCCGGAACTCCACGGAGTAGTCCGCCACCGAACGGTCACCCTGCCGACAGGCCGTGAGCCGCCTCCCGGCCTCGTGCCCTGACACCACCCGAGAAGTGTCAAACACCTTGCATAGCTCCCGGGTGAATTGGTAGGAGTTGGAGCATGCCAGAGTTTGGCTCTCCCACTCCGCGGTAGCCCAGGAAAGGGCCCGACCCATCAACAGAGTGATAATGTAGGCCACCCGGCCCTGCTCCGTCGGGAAGGAGGAGGGTTGTAGGCTGAATACCAGGGAACACTGGGTGAGGAATTCCCTGCAGCCCTCTGGACATCCGTCATACCTCTCCGGAGGTGGTAGGCGGGGTTCCTGCGATGTCGCAGGCGAGACTGGAGACTTCCGCTCCGCCGGCTGCCGGGTCTGGTAGGGTGTCCACCCGGCTCTGCATGGCGATCGTCAGCTGGCGGAGATTCTCGGTGATCTGCTGCAGGCTGCGGTCATGTTGGTTCAGCATAGCCCCCTGTGTTGCCAATGCGCTCCGATACTGTGCTGCCTCCGCTGGGTCCATATTGGCTCAGTGTTCTGTAAGGGTTGGGGTGAGGTGTGACCCAGGTGCGGTGCAGGATATACAGTAGGCAGTAGGCAGAGATGGTGAAACAAGGATCTTTACTGGTGGTCCCGAAGCCAAAATACAAAATAACGGACTTATCACGATAAAAGAAAGGCAGAGCAAATAAGTCTCCAAAAACCGGCTTACAGCCAAAATACGAAATATTACCTAAGACTGAAACAAATAACGAAACAGGGAGAACACTTCTCAAGTACCTGCACATAGATCTCCGATCAGACACTGAGTAGTACTGCTGGACATAGAGAAACTCGCAGAGGAAACTGAGCAAGGGAACACAGGGAAATGAGGGCATAAATAAACAGCTGAACCGATAGACACAGGTGACACCAATAGGATGATGATTAGTCCCGACTGTGAGTGAGGAGGTGCCTAAGGTTGTCGGAGGATGACACCTAGTGGGTCGCTCCGGAACTGCGACCCCCTCCTGTAACATGTTTGTGTGGAGCTTAATTAGTAATGCCTAGGAATAAAAATGTGAACACTATGTAATTTGAGAAAAGAGATATCTATGTAAAGAGTTGACGATTTTATGCATTTCATCATTACAACTGACTGAACAGTCACTGATGCTACGTGTCAGTGTGAACCATTTCTCATATTTCCCCCCTTTCAGGGGTATAACATTACAATTGTCAAGCTAATAGGCTATGTGTTTGTAGATCAACTGAGGTGAATGAACCTACAGCAGCCAAGGTGATAAAAGGCTGGGCTCATTTTTGCTTGTTTTTGCTGTTCTCCTAACGGCATTTTAAAGTTGTTTAATTATATAGAAATGCAGTAAATGGGCTTCAACTTTAAAAAACATGGTTTGTGGGTTTACTTACGCGCTTGTTCTAGTTTGTTGACTATAATGTTAATATGGTGATAACGATGTAGGCTGTGTAGCGGTTAGTGGTTATGAAGGTTTGGCTTGGATACGTTTTAGCAGCTGGTCACAGAAAATTGTTGTGTTGTGCACTGAAGTCCACAAGCGAAGGGAAAAGCTTTGTTTTGTATGTTTGTTATGTGATGCCAGCTCACCAGCTGTATGTAGTTGATACGTTTCTGCTTGAGTTGCTGCAGAGAGCGTTTGGCCTCCTCCTGTAGAGGGAACGCCAGGCCCGTAAGAGTCTGGTGCCTTTTGTCCAAACCAAACTCCATTGTCACCTGTAGGGGGCAACATATAACACACATCAATAATGGATTTATTCAGACATAAACTACAAAGAACAAGGGACAGCACAAGAAAAAGTGGTTATCCACTACACAAATTACTAAAAAGAGATGCAGGTGAAAACATACTTATAAAATGTGTCTTGTGGCTTAAAGATGAGGAGCAAGCAATGTTCCCTCAAAATGTTCTCGGCACTGAGCAAACTTCAGGTCTGCTGAGAGCAAACTTGAACGTTGTGAAAATTCTGTTCAACTTTCAGTGCGCATTTACTGTGAACACTGAGGCTGTACCCGCTTTAAGTTACAGTTTTAACAGTGGCCAAGTAGGCTACTGTGGCTATTTGATCATAATGTAGGCCTATCAGAGTGGACTACCATCAAAAACAATGGAGAAAATGCATCCCATAACATTTTAACATGGAAAAAGCTGTTCTGTCATTCAGCCTACAGTAGCAGCCAATGTGTGGTGTTCAATGAAGGCCTACATTCCATGAGACTTTTGAAAAAAACATGCAGGGCTTGACATTAACCTGTTTATCCAATTGTCCTTCATACAAGGTGTCAAGGTGTGCTGTAGGTGTAGTGGCGGAATCAATTGCAGGACGCAGACGGATAATCCAACAAACTTGTATTGAGCCGAAAACACGGCAAAACGGACAACTCTTGCCCGAAGGCGAAATACGCACGAAGGCGAAAACGAAACAGAACAGCGCACAAACAGGTGCGTAACTCCAGCGCAGTGGAGAGAAGCTCAACCGAGCGAAAACACATCTGACACAAGACAATATTACACAACACCTGACACACACAACGGGAACTAAATAGGACACTAATGACACTGAATGAAAACAGGTGTGACAACACTTAGACAGAAGCAAACGAACATGAAACATACAACGGTGGCAGCTAGTACTCCGGAGACAACGAACGCCGAAGCCTGCCCGAACAAGGGAGAGAGGCAGCCTCGGCCGAAACCGTGACACAAGGAGGTGACTGAAACTGGTGTTGTGTTGTTTGATGCAAGAAACCACTTCAAAAAATTCATTATTATTCCCATACAATTATTACAGAGAATCAGACAAATTATGCTACCCTCTGCCTATTGGCTACTTTGCTATTCAAGCCTGTCTCAAAATACCCCCTTAAAACATACAAAAGTTATTTACCTGACTAGCTTTTCAAAGATGTCTAGAAATGTACATGTTTTGTGCTCTTGTAGGAAGCAATCCCTCCCATATTGCTGACTACAAATGATATATAACTGGGCTAATAAGTCACTAACTAGCAAAGGATATAAACAAAATGTGCACACGTGGCTACATGCATCTCTTGCTCTGATCTCAAAACAAGAACATCTACTCACAACCACAGCTGTAAAGACAGTCCAGATACAAGTAAACGGTACAGATCCATGTATGGCAATGGTCTATTTGCATATAGGCCTACTGCAGCTCTGATTGGTTATGCCCCACCGGTCTGTGTAGACGGCTGAGTCGTGTCAATGCGATAGAATCCTACTCCGATGCGTTCTGCCTGCAACAAACTCTCTTGCATAGTTCATTTTGTTTCGGTATGTTGCATTGAAAGTGGCTAATATTGCGTTGATTCGATCACAATTTCCACAGTAAAGGGAAACGTTGATTGTGTTAACTAACAGGGAAAACTCTAGAAAGTAGAGTGAAATTCAATCTAGTGCTTCTCTCTATGGGCTGATTGTGATGGGTGATTTGAAGGAGAGGTGCAGGAGGGTAAATCACAGAATACAGAGTTTATTCCGGAATACAGAGTTACGTAGAAATGCATCAAACAGTCCAGTGCGCAAAACAGGCGCACTGGAACCAAACAGGCACATGGGGAAAATATACCCCGGCAATACAAAATACACGGAGCTCAACCGAGCTACACTCTCTTCAAAATAAACAATCACCCACAAGGACAAGGGGGCAGAGAGAACACTTATACAGGTACTGAAGAGGGGATATGAACCAGGTGTGTGTAATAAACAAGACAAAACAAATGGAATGATGAGATGAGGAGCGGCAGTGGCTAGAAGGCCGGTGACGACGAACGCCGAAGCCTGCCCGAACCAGGAGAGGAGGCAGCTTCGGAGGAAGTCGTGACACTGATCCAGTATTTCTTCTGCGCGGCAGTCCTGGGGGAGCTGCGCAGCTATCTTGGGGCTACTGCGCGCCTGTGGTGTAGTTTAGAGGGAATATTGGGAGCAAGCCTCTCTTCAAAAGTCTTTAGTACCGAATTATAGATGAAAGGGAGGAACAAACCTTTGCTCATTCTCTGGGAGTGTCACTTAGCCTTCTATGCTCATCCTGTGGGCATATAATGGACAGCCATCTTGTTTCTAGCTCTTTCTCTCTTTTTCTCCCCCTTCTCTCTCACACACATGCACACATTGCATACATACTTGCACACATACACCTGAAACAGTTAGCATGCAGACGCCTGAATCTGATGATCAGACCCACACACATGCTCACACAGATACAAAATACACAGGTGAAAAGACTGAGAGAAGAACCATAGCTTACCCATACAACCTTGTCCTGGATGGCATATTACAGAGACAAACACATACGGCTGACTACATGTACTACACATCATACAAAGGTATAAAACATATTTACAGAGGTCTTCATTTTCAAATAGAGGGCTCCCTTCTCACCTATCTAACTCAACCTCGGTACGGTAGTCTGACTGCTCTTTAGTAGCGAGGTCAACTAGGTCCCTGAGGCCCACATTCTACAGGGTTGTCATAAGCTGTTGCCATAAGCTTTTAATCACACAGTGATGCAACTTCTACTGGGCAACATCATCCACTGACTGCCTGCACATGATAATCTTCAGACCAAATGAGGTCAAGCCCTCATTTCACCCCTCATCAAGTGTCTACACATATGGGACGTGGAGCTTTGCTCTACTGTCTGGACTCTGGAGTGGGTGTGGTCTGGTAAACATCTTAACCCCTGGCCCTGTATCTCCTGAACAGAGTACTTGTATGCTGTGGAGTGAGTCAAATGTTCCAATATGCAGTAAGTAAAGGTAGAGAGGAGGGAGGCCATTCCAAAGGCCTGGGATTGATAGGGTTAACCCACAAGTCAGTTAAACCAAAGTAAATTCAATGTGTTTTTCATTTAACGATTCCATACCACAGACCTCAACTGTGCCAAACATTTATTCCTTGATGGGACCTCCGTCAAACTCCTTCTTCGGTGTGGCTCGGGTGGCAGCGTAGACCATCTTGTCCCTTACCTGCAGATGAGAAAATAACACTGAACACTGGATAGAGCATTGCATTTGCATGTTTGACAGAAATTGTGTATAAACTATATGCATGAGTGCTTGTCAACTTTATCCAGTGCTTGTCAATTTAACAAACAACATGTCAATGTTTTCTGGTGATTTGTGTAGTATTGCAAGCCTGCATAATGTTATCAAAAGGTCATGGTCAAGTATGCATGGTTTTACTGTTCATGAACATCAATACTAAAGTTAATGTGTGGTCTTGGTATTACATTCTGGTGATTGATCAGGTGACCAAGCGATGAAGATCCACTCATAGCCCTGTGCATTCTGGGAGTCGAGGCGGTAGAGGATGTAGCACGGCTCCTGAGACACCAGCAGAGGAAGGAGGAAGTGGTCATAGTCATTGTCTCAGCTCTGTGCCCGTCCTCTGTATGTACCTAGCACCAGCTCTTCTGGAAGACGGACAGAGAAACACTCCGATCATACTCCTCATATTTAAATGGATGCCAGTCCCCAGTGGATCAGGTTAAGGTCAGGCAAATTGTACACAAACAGGTGGTCTTTACTCAGTCTAGATTCAACACACATGATTACCATCTCTGATGACAATCTTTGCTATTCTGATGGTCCCTCCCCTCGCCCTGGCCAGCAACTCCTTCTGCTCATCACATGCTACAATAAAAAAATAAAGAGAGAGAGCGAGGGAGGCAGAGAGAAAGAGAAAGGGCGAAGTATAGAGGGAGAGAGAGAGAGAGACAGTCAATGCTGGTTGGGGAAGTCAGCCTCTTTGAAATGGACTGAGCCCATAATTTGGGTTATTACACTAAGTGGGAGTTTCCCTCTCACTAAGTGGGAGTTTCCCTCTCATTCCCTCCCTCTCACTTCCGCGACAGTGACATACATGCCCCAATGTTGACTTGGGGGATCCCTAACGCGTGAAACCCGACCTGCAGAACTGTGGTAGATGAGTAATAACGCGGCTGTCAGTGGATATGCCACCTTAATCACTGATCTAAAATTCTTCGCGTATCAATGACAAGCACTTTGAAGCGCTTGGCGGGAGTGGGATCTCTCCAACGACGCGCTTGGATACACGGCGACAGGCGCCGTTATCTTTCAGAACTCCATAAATGAAATACATTACTATCGTTGGATCTCTATCTTTTGTTGGATGTCTGTTCCTGCCTGTGTCATAAGCAATGACATATTATCACTCGTTCACATCGTGAACCGGATCGGTTCAACATGAGGACGCAACAAAGATCTCCAATTCAAGCCAGCTGGTCACAGAAATGCGACCCCCCGCGTGAAGCTGACCCCCAAATTTCGACAACGGATTGTAATGTATTTAGACCCAGTTTAATATGGGAAAGATAAGCACTGATCCTCTTGACTGATAAAACTCGAGATACATTTAGATGTAAACCCTATTTCCATATCCCAGCCTAATTTTTAACCAAACAATAAATGGGAAAGTAGGCTATAGGTAGACTATATAGAGTGCTCTGAAAAAGTATTTGCCCCCTTTCTGATTTTCTCTATTTTTGATACTGAATGTTATCAGATCTTCAACCAAAACCTAATATTAGATAAAGGGAACCTGAGTGAACAAATAACACAACAATTACATACTTAATTTATTTATTTCATAAACAAAGTTATGCAACACCCAATGCCTCTGTGTGAAAAAGTAATTGCCCCCTTACACTCAATAACTGGTTGTGCCATCTTTAGCTGCAATGACTCCAACCAAATGTAACCGGTGTGAAATGGCTAGCTAAACTCAGCAAAAAAAGAAACATCCACTCACTGTCAACTGCGTTTATTTTCAGCAAACTTAACATGTGTAAATATTTGTATGAACAGAACAAGATTCAACAACTGAGACATAAACTGAACAAGTTCCACAGACATGTGACTAACAGAAATTGAATAATGTGTCCCTGAACAAAGGGGGGGGGGGGGGGGGGGTCAAAATCAAAAGTAACAGTCAGTATCTGGTGTGGCCACCAGCTGCATTATGTACTGCAGTGCATCTCCTCCTCATGGACCAGATTTGCCAGTTCTTGCTGTGAGATGTTACCCCACTCTTCCACCAAGGCACCTGCAAGTTCCCAGACATTTCTGGGGGGAATGGCCCTAGCCCTCACCCTCTGATCCAACAGGTCCCAGACGTGATCAATGGGATTGAGATCCGGGCTCTTCGCTGGCCATGGCAGAACACTGACATTCCTGTCTTGCAGGAAATTACGCACAGAACGAGCAGTATGGCTGGTGGCATTGTCATGTCAGGATGAGCCTGCAGGAAGGGTACCACATGAGGGAGGAAGAAGTCTTCCCTGTAACGCACAGCGTTGAGATTGCCTACAATGACAACAAACTCAGTCCGATGATGCTGTGACACACCGCCCCAGACCATGACGGACCCTCCACGTCCAGATCGATCCCGCTACAGAGTACAGGCCTCTGTGTAACGCTCATTCCTTCAACGATAAACGCCATCACCCCTGGTGAGACAAAACCACGACTCGTCAGTGAAGAGCACTTTTTGCCAGTCCCGTCTGGTCCAGTGATGGTGGGTTTGTGCCCATAGGCGACGTTGTTGCCGGTGATGTCTGGTGAGGACCTGCCTTACAACAGGCCTACAAGCCCTCAGTCCAGCCTCTCTCAGCCAATTGCGGACAGTCTGAGCACTGATGGAGGGATTGTGCGTTCCTGGTGTAACTCGGGGCAGTTGTTGTTGCTATCCTGTACCTGTCCCGCAGGTGTGATGTTCGGATTTACCGATCCTGTGCAGGTGTTGTTACACGTGGTCTGCCATTGCGAGGACGATCAGCTGTCCGTCCTGTCTCCCTGTAGTGCTGTGTTAGGCGTCTCGCAGTACGGACCATGCAATTTATTGCCCTGGCCACATCTGCAGTCCTCATGCCTCCTTGCAGCATGCCTAAGGCACGTTCACGCAGATGAGCAGGGACCCTGGGCATCTTTCCTTTGGTGTTTTTCAGTCAGTAGAAAGGCCTCTTTAGTGTCCTAAGTTTTCATAACTGTGACCTTAATTGCCGTCTGTAAGCTGTTAGTGTCTTAACGACCGTTCTACAGGTGCATGTTCATTCATTGTTTATGGTTCATTGAACAAGCATGGGAAACAGTGTTTAAACCCTTTACAATGAAGATCTGTGAAGTTATTTAGATTTTTACTAATTATCTTTGAAAAACAGGGTCCTGAAAAAGGGACGTTTCTTTTTTGCTGAGTTTAGTTAGCGGTGCGCGCTAGTAGCGTTTCAATCGGCGACGTCACTCGCTGTGAGACCTTGAAATAGTTGTCTCCCTTGCTCTGCAAGGGCCGCAGCTTTTGTGGAGCGACGGGTAACGGTGCTTCGAGGGTGACTGTTGTCGCTGTGTGCAGAGGGTCCCTGGTTCAAGCCCAGGTTGGGGCGAGGAGAGGGATGGAAGCAAAACTGTTACACAAACGCTTCCAATAGTTGTTGATCAGTCTCTCACATAGCTGTGGAGGAATTTTGGGCCACTCTTCCATGCAGAACTGCTTTAACTCAGTGACATTTGTGGGTTTTCAAGCATGAACTGCTCGTTTCAAGTCCTGCCACAACATCTCAATTGGGATGAAGTGCTTTGAAAGACTGGTCATGGCTCACATCAACAGCATAATCCCAGAAACCCTAGACCCACTCCAATTTGCATACCGCCCCAACAGATCCACAGATGATGCAATCTCTATCGCACTCCACACTACCCTTTCCCACCTGGACAAGAGGAACACCTACGTGAGAATGCTATTCATTGACTACAGCTCAGCATTCAACACCATAGTGCCCTCTAAGCTCATCACTAAGCTAAGGATCCTGGGACTAAACACCTCCCTCTGCAACTGGATCCTGGACTTCCTGACGGGCCGCCCCCAGGTGGTAAGGGTAGGTAACAACACATCTGCCACACTGATCCTCAACACGGGGGCCCCTCAGGGGTGCGTGCTCAGTCCCCTCCTGTACTCTCTGTTCACCCATGACTGCATGGCCAGGCACGACTCCAACACCATCATTAAGTTTGCCGACGACACAACAGTGGTAGGCCTGATCACCGACAACGATGAGACAGCCTATAGGGAGGAGGTCAGAGACATGGCCGTGTGGTGCCAGGACAACAACCTCTCCCTCAACGTGACCAAGACAAAGGAGATGATTGTGGACTACAGGAAAAAAAAGAGGACTGAGCACGCCCCCATTCTCATCGACGGGGCTGTAGTGGAACAGGTTGAGAGCTTCAAGTTCCTTGGTGTCCACATCACCAACGAACTATCATGGTCCAAACACACCAAGACAGTCGTGAAGAGGGCACGACAAAGCCTATTCCCCCTCAGGAGACTAAAAAGATTTGGCATGGGTCCTCAGATCCTCAAAAAATTCTACAGCTGCACCATCGAGAGCATCCTGACTGGTTGCATCACCGCCTGGTATGGCAACTGCTTGGCCTCTGACCGCAAGGCACTACAGAGGGTAGTGCGTACGGCCCAGTACATCACTGGGGCAAAGCTTCCTGCCATCCAGGACCTCTATACCAGGCGGTGTCAGAGGAAGGCCCTCAAAATTGTCAAAGACTCCAGCCACCCTAGTCATAGACTGTTCTCTCTGCTACCGCACGGCAAGCGGTACCGGAGTGCCAAGTCTAGGTCCAAAAGACTTCTCAACAGCTTCTACCCCCAAGCCATAAGACTCCTGAACAGCTAATCATGGCTACCCGGGCTATTTGCACTGCCCCCCCACCCCATCCTTTTTACGCTGCTGCTACTCTGTTAAGTATTTATGCATAGTCACTTTAACTCTACCCACATGTACATATTACCTCAACTACCTCAACTAGCCGGTGCCCCCGCACATTGACTCTGCACCGGTACCCCCCTGTATATATAGCCTCCCTACTGTTATTTTATTTTACTTCTGCTCTTTTTTTCTCAACACTTTTTTTGTTGTTTTATTCTTACTTTTTTTGTTTAAAATAAATGCACTGTTGGTTAAGGGCTGTAAGTAAGCATTTCACTGTAATGTCTGCACCTGTTGTATTCGGCGCATGTGACCAATACAATTTGATTTGATTTGATTTGATTAGATTAGGTCTGGACTTTGACTAAGCCATTCCAAAACTTCACATTTGTTGCTTTTTAGCCATTTTCATGTAGACTTGATTGTGTGTTTTGGATCATTGTCTTGCTGCATTACCCAGCTGCTCTTCAGCTTCAGCTCACAGGCAGATGGCCTTACATTCTCCTGTAGAATTCTCTGATACAGAGCAGAATTCATGGTTCTTTCCATGCTTGACCGCAAGTCATCCAGATCCTGACTCCTGAGGCACCAAAGTATCCCCAAATCATGACACTACCACCACCATGCTTGACCGTTGGTATAAGGTGCTTACTGTGGAATGCAGTCTTTGGTTTTCGCCAGGCATAATGGGCCCCATGATGTCCAAAAAGTTATACTTTTGACTCATCTGTCCATAGAACATTCTTCCAAGAGTCTTGATGATCATCCAGGTGCTTCCAGGTGCTTTTTGGCAAATTTGAGTCAACTTTTTGGACTAGATGGGTCCCATTATGTCTAGCGAAAACCAAACACAGCATTCCACAGTAAGAACCTCATACCAACGATCAAGCATGGTGGTGGTAGTGTGATGGTTTGGGGAAACTTTGCTGCCTCAGGACCTGGATGACTTGGAACAAGCAGTTCATGCTTGAAAACCCACAAATGTCACTGAGTTAAAGTAGTTCTGCATGCAACAGTGGGCCAAAGTTCCTCTACAGTGATGTGAGAGACTGATAAACAACTACAGGAAGCATTTGGTTGCAGCTAAAGGTGACACAACCAGTTATTGAGTGTAAGGGGGCAGTTACTTTTTCACACAGGGGAATTGGGTGTCGCATAACTTTGTTAATTAAATAAATAAAATAGGTATCCATTTTTTTGGTTATTTGTAAGCTCAGGTACCCTTTATCTAATATTATGTTTTGGTTGAAGAGCTGATAACATTCAGTATCAAGGGGGCCTCCTGAGTGGCGCAGCGGTCTAAGGCACTGCATCGCAGTGCTTGAGGCGTCACTAGAGACCTGGGTTCAATCCCAGGCTGTGTCACATGACCGGGAGACCCATGAGGTGGTGCACAATTGGCCCAGCGTTATCCGGGTTAGGGGAGGGTTTGGCCAGCCGGGATTTCCTTGTCCCATCGCGCTCTAGCGACTCCTTGTGGCGGGCCGGGTGTCTGCAAGCTGACTCTAGACACAGGTGGTGAGAGAAAGACCAGTGTGTACCTGTGAGGTTACCTGTGACGGTATCATCCATAATTCAGTAAGCTGTGAGTACACAGTCCAAGGTTCTATGCACTTTCTACCACAGACACACAGTTCGTTTTCACCATTGAAAAACACCAGTTTAAGTACATAAAACGTAGATGTTAAAACATTTTAATACTTTCTGAATAAACAGTACAAAATAATTGAATTCCCAATAAAATAAAACATGTATCCGCAGTTAAAATGCATACTTGATTGGAGTTGTCAATGTATTAAAAAGTTAAAAGGTCATAATTGTCTACTAATTAACACATTGTGGCACTTTGCTCATAAATATATAAAAGCAAGTGTTTGTCAGTAGTACACCACAGGTATTCTCTACTCTTATAAAAACTTTTCAACAAGCACCTGTCACAGTGGACAATAACTACTGTCTCCCACAGCTCTAGTGATCCCCTCATGTAACCTTCCCCATTTGGCAAATAAATCAGTTTATAGAGTGACAGTTCTCCTCATGGATAATCAACAGTGGAATCCCTTTCACCAATGCCTTAATATGCCTACAATTTCATTTGGAGCCGTTAAGAGTCCATAGTGTCTCTGCATACTCAGAGCAACATGAAAGGAGAAAGGCATCCTGGGTAATGATGATGACAGTTTGTCTCTGTGGCCCCACCCCTTTATCAGTCTCCTACACAGGGAAGCCAGAACGCCTGCAAAGAGAGAGACAGAGAGAGTGGGGTAGATTTTGGCAGGGGCAAATTAGAGACAATGTATGTGTGTCTAAGCATGGTTGTGTGGGTGTGTTTAGGCTGATGAAAGTGTGTGTGTGTGTATGTATCTCACCATATTGGAGCAGGCGCTGGCAAATGTCATGTATTTAGGGTTAAACTGCAGTGTGTTGATTGGTCCTGAATGCTTCCCGTCCAGAACCGCTATCTTCATCCCACTCTCTGTACTCCACACATGGACCCTCCCATCCTCTGAACCTGGGGCATAAAGGACAACATGAGGGTTAGGTGGTTATGGATGATGGATTGGGGGAGAAAAGTTTGACAAACATATGGACTGATTGGCAGAGTAATAATATCAGTTAATAGGGTCAAATGGCTCATTGATTTGGGTGACTCTGGAATTGGCTTGAGCGCTTCAGAGCTGAAATTGTGTTGAGTTGTTCTGACATTAGACTTCGGTGGATCAGGGAGGGCTGGGTAAGACAGCCTAGTTTGCTAACTTCTAATGTTGGGACTTGGGAGGTGTCGGGCTCACCAATCATAACAAAGTCTGAGTCTGGGGTGAAGCAGGCCTCCAATGAAATGCCTTTACTGTTGTTGTAGCCCTACAGAACACACAGGGGAGACACGTTTGATTCAGCCAGTCAGATAATAAATAACTATATTTACTAGACACAGTACATGCAGTAAGCTATGCACATCACAGCAGGCTGCTGAGGGGAGAACGGCTCATAATATTGGCCGGAACGGAGCAAATGGAATGGCATCAAACACCTGGAAATCATGTATTTGATACCATTCCACCTATTCCGCTCCAGCCATTACCACATGCCCGTTCTCCCCAATTAAGGTGCTACCAACCTCCTGTGATGTGCATACTCGTAGATATGTGTGTGAAGAATATTCACTTCAGGTCTATCAGTGCAGTGTGGTAACGGTTCTCTCACTGAGAAAGTGTGCAGCACGGATCCATTGAAGGCGTCTAGGACGCGAATAGCACCCCCGTTGGTAGAGATGAGAATCTGCTTCCCGTCCCTGCTGAACTTCAGTCCAGTCCACTCACAGACGCGGCTAAACTGAGTCTCAAAGGAGGCGAAGGGGCCCTAAACACAAGTAAACAACAAATTGACCTCACCACAGGAACTCACACTGACGTCGATCATCATATACATTTTCTAACAGTAAACCACACACACACACACACATACATAATCAACAAATATGATATCACATATTATATTACAAACACTAATACATTTCAAACACATTTTCAATGTTACCTTGTCAAAGGAGCGGAGGTCGTACAGTTTAATCGCCTCAGAGTCGACCCCAGCAGCGAATATCAGGCCCTCGGGATCAAAGGAGCAAACAGGCTTCCCCAAAGGATTAGTAAGACCCTAAGACAAACAAACACACATTTCAAAACCTGTTACATTATATAAAATACATTGATGATATGTGTCTTTTCCCAAGCTCATCGAAAGGGCACAGTCAAAGAATTGTGGCTTCTAAAGGCTGCTCTTACTCACCTGACAGTTTGGAGAGCGCAGGTCCCAGAGTCGTATGGTCATATCCAATGAACCCGAGATGAACGTGTCATCCACCGGTGACATGGAGAGAGCAACAACCCTGACAACATCCACACAGTGTGTAATCAATGTTAGTGTCCAAACAACCTTTAACTGTATATGAATCCCTCAAAAGTGTTGTCTCACCTATCAGTGTGCCCAGGGAAGTAGCGGATGTACTTGTTGTCAGTGAGAGACAGGTATCGGATGGTATCTGGATGAGTCACAGAGACGAGGACATGAGTGAGGTCATACTTTCGTAAAACTGACACACACGTGTTTGATTCAACAATTTTGTGGAAGCAGCCCATCATGTTGTTTTTAGCACCTTTGCGTCCCACTTTATAAGATATAGGGAAAACACTGCACACACAAACATACTGTATGTTGGCTTGACCTCTTTGTTTATTAGGCTGTGTTTACACAGGCAGGCCAATTCTGATCTTTATTTCACTCGTTGGTATTTTGACCAATCAGATCAGCTCAGAAAAATATCTGCTGTAAAAATATCTGATGTGATTGGTCAAAAGACCAATTAGTGGAAAAAAGATCAGAATTGGGCTGCCTGTGTAAACGCAGCCTTAGAGCTGTTCCACTTCCAGAAATTCTTACCATCTAGTTTGTTGGAGCTGTAGACCACTGTGTTGGCATCCCCGTGTGTATACCGGATAAGGTCTACTCCGTACTTCTTACTGTACAGGGTCCGTATGGGTCTGAAGTGGGGTGAGGACAACACAGTACAGAAAAGCTTCGTTTGATTCTCTCTCAATCACAGTAACGTATAATGCCAAAGTTGTACATGATGTGGTGATGTAATGCATGGTATTTCGGTTTTCTTCAAATTAAATAATCTTCATTCTATGCCAACTATTTTTATTTATACTGTAAAGTATTATTAACCATGCCTTGATGGACACAATTTTTTGCCCACTTGAACAATCAACCTCGATGTGGGACTAGAGCTCGGGGATGTTCCCAAACAACAGGCCCCACACAGAGAACATTTGTCTTCTAGCCTGTTTTGTGCACTTATAGATTATGGCATGCAAACTGCAGTTGATGAAACAAGATTAATTGTGCTCACTTTCCCTCCTGACAGTCATATAAAACAATGGAGTCGTCGTCGCTACTAGATATTGCACTCTCGCCGTTCGAGCTGTAGTCCACACAGTTGACTTTCTGCGAATTCTCCCGGAATGTCCTAGCAACCCTAAAACTTCGCAACACACTGTCCGTAATCTTCATCTCGGCAGCCGCCGAATTTGGACATCAAGCAATGTGTTTTTTTTTATCACTCTTTAGGCGAGGACAGAATGGTGCGCTGACATCTCAGCAAAATGTATTGACAAATCGGAATTAGCAAACTTGCACATTGAATGTCGGGCCATGTGTGGTGTGTCGTGAACAACATTAGCGTGAGCAACAATAGTGGAATCGGCGGTTTGACTTCAAAATAAAAGTCCCCCATTAAATCTGCTAAAAACATAAACATAGTGGAATCATGCCACAATTGGACTAGATAATACTAAACAAGTTTGGAATGTGTTATATAAATTCAACAAACGTCAATTATGAGTTAATTTCCCACAGTTAAAGTCTAGCAATAAGAGCTACAATGCTAATATTTGTGTAAACTCTTCACAGTTGTGTTCTGTGGGTGTCAAGATCCATAGGTAAGGCTGTACACTGCAATATGAACGTTCGACACGTACATTAGGTGAATTCCCACAGTTAAAGTCCCGCAATAAGTCATACGACGCTAATATTTGTGAAATTCAGTGCATATAAGTATGCCCCAATGCAATTCTGAAGTCTAATACATCCACAGTGCGATTTCAACTGATTTGTTCTTTTTTCAAATTAACAAATTATTGTATTTTGCTGAATTTATATAACAAATATTGCTCTATATAACAACATGCCATTTCTAACCTTGTTTAGAATTACCTAGTCTAATTGTGTCATGAGTCCACTATTTATATCCGTTTGCATGTTTCAATAGGATACTTTTATTTTGAAGGCGAACCACCGATTCCACTATTGTTGCTCACGCTAATGTTGTTCATGACACACGTGTGCACAATGACTGAATATAATGTTACCTTCCCTCCAATACTATTCCCAAACGATTAGCCTCAACTCCCAAATAACTATGCATTGTGAAAGTATTTGCGTAGCCCTATCCGCACAATGCATAGCTGAGACTGGATATCCATTCAGCGGCAGCATTTATAATACTGTAGATTCATTCACGTCTTTGTGCGAATCTGAAAAAAGATAAGTCAATATACATCATTTCCGGTGTGAAGAAAACAACCACCACAATGGCGCAATCCAGTGTTTTTAGCTTCAGACACAAGTCGACATGAGATGTATAAAATATTTTAAAATAGGCTAGTTGTCATAAACAACTACAGGAAGGGACGCTGGCTTGTAATAATGATGTTATAAGCACATGTCAAGTGCTAATTCGCTCAGGGAAAACGAGCAATATTTGTCACATATCGAGGTGAGCAGCAGCATCCTTGCTCACGAGGACACATGCTTCTGCCTCGAGACGAGAGGCACCAGCACCAGGGTCTGACTCTGATAAAGAGACCAAATCTGAGAGCCATCGACCTTGCACGCAAAATTCGCCAGGAGAAACAGAAAGGAAAGGCAACTGGTGTGGGTCAGAAGAGACGGTCCCTTATCCTCGGTGCCAGTTGCCGCGTTCATATGCTAGTAGGAACTAGGAAACTTGGAAATGTCCTACTTGCTAAATGGTTGTAGTTCTACACGTGCCGCGTTCAACCAGGTAGCAAGTCGGAAATTTCGTAGTTCCGACTAGCATGTGAATGCGGCAAGTGTCCCCACTGCTAAAAGAGGGTCATCGAGCTGCGACAGTTCACTCAGCAGCTGAGTAATGTTCACCCCAACGTTCTGGCCAAGCACATTCACAGAGGTCTGATCCTTCCACATCCAGAGCTCGGTGTCATCAATAAGCCATATGGAGTTTCTGTTCAAGGTATTGGGTGTTGTAGCAATGTATTTACATGCCTATTACATTATGGTACATTAGGCTTATATGATCAAACACACAGTCAAGGATTATACAGTCAAGGATTATGTCATGAAAGAGATTGTTCATTTGAAAGTCACTTGTACAAAATACACCCTAATACCCTGAGCAGTGGTCAAATTCACTGTGATTTAAATCCAATAATCTTCCGCCTAGATGGGTCAAAGGACAAAAACAATATCATGGACGTCTTCCAGTCCTTGCCAAGGTGCTGGATGGCATGAGGGCTGGGTCCCACTCCCAGCTGCAAGTCTGCCTTGGATTGGACAAGGAGACAACAGGGACCCTCCTGCTGGCAAGGACTGAGGAAGCACTGGGCTATGTACAAAACCTCCACAAAAACAACCAAGTGGAGAGGAAATATTGGTGTGTGGATGTCTAAAGTCTATGGGTGTTTAGAGATTTAGTTTAAATAAGGTTCCAGTCAGCACATCATTCACTTTTCAAAACCACCAATTGAGGGCAGCAACTGAGAATATGCCATAGAGTTATTGTAATGACCCTGCCATTGATAAGATATGATTGACATCCCTGTCATAGAGAGAGAAGTCACAGGGACAGTAGAGTGCACAACTCCTGTCATTTTTGTATTGGTGGCTTTCAGCAGATACTGAGATGTCCTTCAGATTTTGAAGTTGGCATCTGTTATAGAACCTGTATTTGTACATAATGTATTGTGTAATTGTATAGTGGTCCTCTGTAGCTCAGCTGGTAGAGCACGGCGCTTGTAACGCCAAGGTAGTGGGTTCGATCCCCGGGACCACCCATACACAAAAATGTATGCACGCACGACTGTAAGTCGCTTTGGATAAAAGCGTCTGCTAAATGGCATATTATATTATATATTATATACACCTAACCGCCCATAACCCCTCTCATATGGGCCTGAGTCCTGTGTACAGGGTGAGTGACTAAAGTGCAGGCCAATCGGCAGGCCCAGGGGGCAGTGACCCAGTACCGTGTCCTGGACAGCAGTAACGGCTGCAGCCTTGTGGAGCTCCACCCCATCACAGGTAGCGACACTACTGAAGCAATTGACTCTGGTGTGGTTCCAAGTCGTCTGTTTTTGCAGAGCCCCCGCACATCCCAAAAGATTGCTATATAATATGACTGCAAAAAAGGTGACATGAAACCTGTCTTCATTAGTGAGGGGAAGTTCGGGTCTTTTTACTGACTGATCTTTTCGACTCGTTCAGTCAAAAGAACTAATCTTTCGACTCATTTCGTTCATTTGAGTCAGTAATGCCCAGAGAACGCAGGACCTCCTACCGGCGAATGATGATTCTACAAACCCTCTCGTTCACATGTCGTTCACCATAAGGGGCTTATTGGAGCTGTAATTTGTAACTGAGACTTGTAAAAGTGTGCCTTAAACAATGTACATTTGTTGATTGCTAGGCATACAAATACGATTATTTCTCGGTACATTTGAAACGAGGTCTAGTTGTGGCCGCAACTGAACTAGATTGCGAGCGAGTCTTGGCGGAATGCATCGCTCGACTGCCTTGAGGGTGATGAGCGCAAACTGCAGCATCCCAAATGATTCATTCTCGAGTTCGTTGAGCAGAGGCGGTGTATATTTTGGTTCTACAAAGCTGTGTTCATCATAACATTCAATAATCAATTAACTGCATTAATTCTTGCACCATGTGAATTATCAGTTCGAAACTTGTAGCATGATCTATTTTGCCTGCGAGCATATATGACAGACAGTTGTTCGGAGCACGTCAACCGAGGAGCGCGTGTTAATCCTGTTGTAGAATTCATTGCGGCCAGCAGGTCAAACAAAAGACTAAAATGAACGAGTCAATCAGAAAATTGAATCATATCTCTCCAGTCAGTAAAAAGTCGTTCAAAAAGAATGAATCGTTCGCCAACTAAACATCTCTAGACTTCATGTTGTTGAGGGGTCTACTACACACATACCTCACATTAACCTAAGTCAAAGAAGACACAGTGCCCCTTTTAATAGTAGCACCATTTTTTAAAAACTACCTTGTGAACCAGCATAGCAACCTGTTCACTGTGTCTCTTCCATCCACTGGCATAGCTCTGGGATGTCATATCATTGGGGACCACAAATACTCCCACTGGACAAAACTTCCACCTCAGGTAAACACCACTTCACAATATAGATGCATTACAACAAGGTTGCCTAACCTTTAGACCTCTTTGGTACCAGTCAAGTTAACTTTAATGGCAGGCAATGATGGATTTTTTATTATTTTTTTACTTCAGAAACTGCGGGATGGTGTGTTACGGAGGCTGGGATTAGAACAAAGCAAGGCACGTCACCTTCCGCTCCACCTGCTCGCACATCAGCTGACACTGTCAGAGATATCACTGTGTCCTGCCCGCTGCTGAAGTAGTTCACCAGCACCCTGCGACAACTGCAGATCCCCATTCCAGATAAGAAAGAGGATGAACGGTGCATCAGTGGCTCCTATGCAGAGCAGACAGAATACAGAAGACTTTTGCTTCAGAAATATGAAGCGGCATCACTTCAAGTGACCCTTGACATTTACATTTTAGTCATTTAGCAGATGCTCTTATCCAGAGCGACTTACAGTTAGTGAGTGCATACATTTTCATACTGGCCCCCCGTGGGAATCGAACCCACAACCCTGGCGTTGCAAGCGCCATGCTCTACCAACTGAGCTACAAGGAGGCCTAATGGTTGTTCAAGTCCATACCTGGAATTATAAAATAGCATTTATATTGTAACAGTACTTTTCTGATTTCACATGCTAGGATCCTATTTGTTGTTCAATTCCCATAGGAAAGGCAACAGAGTTAGTTATTTGAAGACTAAACATTTCTCTTTTGTAGGTTCCTATGCAGACTTTTGCCTACCAGAGGATCTCACCTGAGAGAAAAGGGGGTGGCGGTTCAGATATCTCACTACTTCTTCGAATCAGTACTGATTAGTAGTCTGCTTAATTACCGGCACATGTCCCAGTCATGTGTGAATACTGCAGCATTTAACCTACTGCATTGTGAACACAACATCGGAGCTAAGACTTGACTGAAACTCTTAAAAAGGTACACCGTCTCTCAGTCATTCACAGTACAAAGGCACGTTTGAAAACACAGGCTTTCTTATTTAGCCTCCAATACCACTAGAATATCAATACATACAGGAGATAATAAATGCCAATAAAAAAAAAGTTACAAAAAGTGAGCAGAGGTCCCATTAAATGTCTGTTGGTGTGTAATCCACTCTGCTCTTGGCTCCTGTCCTGTCTGGGACCTGAGAGCTTGGAGGACAGAGGCGCAGGAGGGTCCGCGTGAGGGCAAACATGTTAAAGGGGGTAAATGTCCACATACGCTCCCCTATGTATTTATTTGGACAGTGAAGCTAAAATGTGTACATTTGTCCCTATACTCCAGCATTTTGGATGACATCAAATGTTTCATATGAGGCGACAGTACAGAATGTCACCTTTTATTTGAAGGTATTTTCATACGTGACTCTACAAACTTGAATCCTGAATAATGAGGAGTGAAAGATCATACCCCTCAAAATAAATCATACCCCTCTTATTGGTCATTGTGAGAGGTTAGCATGTCTTGGGGGTATGATCTTTGTACCTAACTTTCTCACTCATTATTCACAATTCATTCATGATTATCCGTAATCATCCATCCATCCACATGAATGTAGAACGGTTCAGAAACATATTCAAAGCTTATTTACAATAAAAGTGCCTCCAAAATGTCGTAATACATTATTTACCATTCATTTCTATTGGGCACAACAATAATCTGAAACGCAACCAAAACAAACTGCAAATGCATCCAACAAGTTTGTAGTCACATGATGTAGTCATTGCATCCTAGGAATGCGACCCAATACTACACTTTTGATTACTTTAATACACAAGTGAATTTGTCCAAATACTTATTACAACACCTTCAAATGGGGGGGGGGGGGGGGGGGGGGGGGGGGGGGGGGGACGGGACGGGACTAGATACATAGTGCTTTCATTTCTAAACGGTAAAACATATGTATGAAAATACCCTCAAATTAAACATTATCTAAAATCCAAAATGCTGGAGTATAGAGCCAAGTTAAATGTTTTTGGTTTTTAGCATCATTGTCCAACTAAATACGTAGGGGAGTGCCTTCAGAAAGTATTCACACCCCATTACTTTTTCCACATTTTGTTGTGTTACAGCCCAAATTTAAAATAGATTAAATTGAGATTTGTCACTGGCCTAAACAAAATACCCTATAATGTCAAAGTAGAATTATGTTTTTATAAACTTTTACAAATTAAATATGAAAAGTCTTGAGTCAATAAGTATTCAACCCATTTGTTATGGCAAGCCTAAATAAGTTGAGGAGTAAAAACTTGCATAACAAGTCACAATAAGTTTCATGGACTGTGTGCAATAATAGTGTTTAACATGATTTTTGAAGGACTACCTCATCTCTGCACCCCAACCACACTTATCTGCAAGGTCCCTCAGTCGAACAGTGAATTTAAAGCACAGATTCAACCACAAAGACCAGGGAGGTTTTCCAATGCCTCACAATTAAGGGTATTAGTAGATGGTCCCCCCCCAAAAAAAAGCACATGGTGAAGTTTTTAAATTACACTTTGGATGGTGTATCAATACACCCAGTCAATACAAAGATACAGGCATCCTTCCTCACTCAGTTGCCAGAGAGGAAGGAAACCACTCAGGGATTTCACCATGAGGCCAATGGTGACTTTAAAACAGTTACACAGTTCAATGGCAGTGATAGGAGAAAACTGAGGATGGATCAACAACATTGTAGTTACTCCACAATACTAACCTAAATGACAGTGAAAATAAAAAAGCCTGTACAGAATACAAATATTCCAAAACAAGCATCCCGTTTGCAAAAAGGCACTAAAGTAATACTGCAAAAAATGTGGCAAAACAATTAACTTTTAGTCCTGAATACAAAGTGTTATGTTTGGGGCAAATCCAATAGAACACATTACTGATTACCACTCTCCATATTTTCAAGCACAGTGGTGGCTGCATCATGTTACGGGTATGCTTGTAATCGTTAAGGACTGGGGAGTTGTTCAGGATAAAAAAAGAAACGGAATGGAGCTAGGCAAAGGCAAAATCCTAGAGGAAAACCTGGTTCAGTATGCTTTCCACCAGACATTGGGAGATGAATTGTCCTTTCAGTAGGCCAATAACCTAAAACACAAGGCCACATCTACACTGGAGTAGCTTACCAAGACAGTGAATGTTCCCGAATGTCCAAGTTACAGTTTTGACTTAAATCTACTTGCAAATCTATGGCAAGACCTGAAAATGGTTGTCTACCAATTTGACAGAGCTTGAAGAATTTTGAAAAGAATATGGACGAATGTTGCACAATCCAGGTGTGGAAATCTCTTAAAAAGACTTGAAGCCAATTTATGCTTGATCCGAAAATGTGGTTGGAGGCTTCGTATGGAGGGTGTGACGCAGTTGCGGAGCCTCCTGAGGAATGCAGAGGCCAAATCAAGCTCCATACCGCATCGCAGTGCCCCTCTCAAATGTTGTAACAATGTGGAGGGCTCCGTATAGTTCCGCATTGACATGATTGATTTGACGGTAGGTGGGGGCGAGGTGTCCTGTATAAACACAAACTCACTTCCTTCACAACCGCTCTGCGAAGCGCAAAAAGTATGTTTGCTCTGACTTCTGCAGAGGCCGCATTGCAGTAAATGCTGTATGGCCATTGCAGTCGGCGGATTGACCATGCAGAGCCTTTTACCCAGAAAGACTCACAGCTGTAATCGATGCCAAAGGTGCTTCTACAAAGTATTGACTCAGGGGTGTGAATACTTATGTAAATTAGATATTTCATTTTCAATATATTTGGTAACATTTCTAAAAACATGTTTTCACTTTGTCATTATGGGGTAGTGTGTGTAGAAGGGTGAGATTTTTTATTTATTTTGAATTCAGGCTATAACAAAATGTGGAATAAGTCAAGGGTACGAATACTTTCTGAAGTCACTGTATGTGTACAATATATTTATATATAAGACTGAATATATATCCGATATTTCACCATCCATTTCTGACCATTCCATCTTTATTGGGGGCTGCAGTGGCCTACAAGAGTACATGATGAGCTCTGATTTAGTGAGTTGGACAAAATTCATTTCACTTGTCTCGTCAGTCCAGGACAAAATTATATGGTGAAGTGAGGTGGGGGGTTAGGTGAAGTGGTGGCTTACTTACGTGTGACCATCTCAAAAAAGATTCAGTAATTCATAACTGGGCATTGAGTGACATAACTGCCATTGAACTGCCATTAGATGAATAAACGCAGGAGTCTATTCCTTAAAAAAGGCTCATAAGTCCACTCTGTAAACACTGTCTGTCGCTCCCCACTCCTGTGGTTGGAAGGTGTGATGGGTTAAGACTGAGGCCACTGGAGGTCCTTAGAGTTCATTACTGAGTGAAGGAGGTACCAGAAAGAGGAAAGCTTAAGAGAGGAGGGCTGATTTCGGGGGTTAGTGTGTCCATTTCAGTTCCTCCTCCCCTCTCCGCTCAGTGCATGTTGGCCGATGACATGGCGATGGCCTCCTGGATCTCCCGCACCATGATGATGCGTGTGAGCATGTGCTCCACCTGCTCACTTGTGATTGGCTGAGTGGAGTACCATATGGGACTGTTGGGCGCCACGACGGGCTCTGGTGTCAGGTAGTACGCGTCATTACGCCCCTTAGCACTCTGGGGACTGAGCGAGACAGGAGGTTAGATGTTGATTAGATCACTAGAAATGCATAAAAGAGCTCCTGTAGAAGACAAATGTTCTGTTGTGTATTTGACACCATGGAAAACATCACCCTGTGCAAGAACATCCTCTTAGCGACTAGAAATGTACTGAGAATGGGGGTCATTACTCACCATTTGAAGAGGTAAAAATCGTACAGCTTAATTGGGCATCGCAGAGGGTTCTCAGGATCCTCAGCCTGCTCCTCATACATGTCATCAGTCACTGCAAAGTTCAAAGATCACAGAGGTCAGAGGTGATCATCAGCCAGTAGTGATTGGGCTTATGGACCTCATAATATTGACAAACTTGGTCGATCAGAGGCGCAAAGAATTATCCCCAAAGGGAAAGTTTGGAATGTTTGGAACACATAGCTGACCAATACCAGTCAGTCAGTGACTGGGAAAATGGAAATCCGGTCTGACTAAAATATACAAAGCTTAATTTTCTTTATTATGAACTCTAAGATGTTTTCACCTTTCTGCCCTGCATGTTGTGTCCCTAAGGGACCATGGCCCTTCAGATAGCGGATACTGGTGCTCTTATCCTTGGGGTTGGACGGGTTCTTCTTTGTGTGCCTAAGCACTTTGGAGAAGGCCACCTTCATGTGCTGTTCTACCGTTGTCAGATGGAAATACCTACAGGAGAGCGAAACGTTTAACACCAAAAACACAAATGCACGCAACAGACACAACCTGGCATTCACACACGTCAGCTATCCTGCATCCACTAGGCCTGATCACATGCAAGATACATAGGATTACAATTACAGTGGGGGAAAAAAGTATTTAGTCAGCCACCAATTGTGCAAGTTCTCCCACTTAAAAAGATGAGAGAGGCCGGTAATTTTCATCATAGGTACACGTCAACTATGACAGACAAAATGAGAATTTTTTTCCCCGAAAATCACATTGTAGGATTTTTTATGAATTTATTTGCAAATTATGGTGGAAAATAAGTATTTGGTCAATAACAAAAGTTTCTCAACACTTTGTTATATACCCTTTGTTGGCAATGACACAGGTCAAACGTTTTCTGTAAGTCTTCACAAGGTTTTCACACACTGTTGCTGGTATTTTGGCCCATTCCTCCATGCAGATCTCCTCTAGAGCAGTGATGTTTTGGGGCTGTCGCTGGGCAACACGGACTTTCAACTCCCTCCAAAGATTTTCTATGGGGTTGAGATCTGGAGACTGGCTAGGCCACTCCAGGACCTTGAAATGCTTCTTACGAAGCCACTCCTTCGTTGCCCGGGCGGTGTGTTTGGGATCATTGTCATGCTGAAAGACCCAGCCACGTTTCATCTTCAATGCCCTTGCTGATGGAAGGAGGTTTTCACTCAAAATCTCACGATACATGGCCCCATTCATTCTTTCCTTTACACGGATCAGTCGTCCTGGTCCCTTTGCAGAAAAACAGCCCCAAATCCCAGAACCCGTGTGGTTCTGGGATTTTTGCTCACCGTTCTTGTGATCATTTTGACCCCACCGGTTGAGATTTTGCATGGAGCCCCAGATCGAGGGAGATTATCAGTGGTCTTGTATGTCTTCCATTTCCTAATAATTGCTCCCACAGTTGATTTCTTCAAACAAAGCTGCTTACCTATTGCAGATTCAGTCTTCCCAGCCTGGTACAGGGCTACAATTTTGTTTCTGGTGTCCTTTGACAGCTCTTTGGTCTTGGCCATAGTGGAGTTTGGAGTGTGACTGTTTGAGGTTGTGGACAGGTGTCTTTTATACTGATAACAAGTTCAAACAGGTGCCATTAATACAAGTAATGAGTGGAGGACAGAGGAGCCTCTTAAAGAAGAAGTTACAGGTCTGTGAGAGCCAGAAATCTTGCTTGTTTGTAGGTGACCAAATACTTATTTTCCACCATAATTTGCAAATAAATGCATTAAAAATCCTACAATGTGATTTTCTGGATTTTTTTTCCTCAATTTGTCTGTCATAGTTGACGTGTACCTATGATGAAAATTACAGGCCTCTCTCATCTTTTTAAGTGGGAGAACTTGCACAATTGGTGGCTGACTAAATACTTTTTTTCCCCACTGTACATTGTGACTTGGCAAGTACAAGGATCGTTCCATTTGATTTCAATCACTTTTTGAACAAAACGTTCTATACATATCTGCCCATGGTAGAAGTGGTCAGAAAGTAACTTTTTGGACCCGAATGCCAAAACATTTAAGAGATGGAGGCACTCAAAGTTGACCCATTTTGCATACCCCACCCTACCATGAGACATGCATGTCTTCATCACTGGAAAAGATAAACGGTTGAGATTGATATAATTTAAAAGCTTACAAACAGGATTGTCAAACTATTTAATAATTTTTAGCATATTTTTTTTTATAAATATATATTTTTATACCTTTATGTCAATTATCTAAAAACACGTAAACTCCAATTTACAGACACCCACCCTGTATTCAAGAGCACGCTGTGTCTCAGCTGATGGTGGGCACAACACAAACACCTCACATTATGTCAAATAGGGTCTAAACTACAACATATGCAAAAATGAAGAAATACAAATCGGAGTTTACCCGTTTTTAGATATATGACATTGAAAGTAAATTATTATTATTTTTAATTAAAATATTTTGACAACCCTGATTGTAAGTCAACCGTTTATCTTTTCCAGAGATGAAGACATGGATGTCTTATGGCAGAGTGAGGTATGCAAAATGGGTCAACTTTGAGCACCTCTATCTCTTAATGTTTTGGCATTCAGGTCCAAAAAGTCACTTTCTGACTACTTGGGCAAATATGAATGGAAGGTTTCATTCAAATCAAAAGGGGTGCGGTCAAAAAGTGATTAAAATGAAATGGAATCACCCACAAGTGTATTGGTGAACAGGATACATTAGTAGGATGAGTATGAAATCAGAATCATGTGTCCAGTATGACTCACTTAGTGTTGAAGAACATTAGTGTTGTGAGCAGCGTGGCTGGTGAGTGGGCACCCAGCTGTTTACACTCCCACAGCATCTCCTCTGTCACGTGACTGGGAATGATGTACCCTGGGAGGAGAAAGCAGATTAGCCAATCACCATACATTCTCCTCTCAAGAGACAGCGTGCAGCCCAAAACACAGAAATGTACTCAGGTTTTGACCCTTAGGTCTTCAGCGGTTTCTTCCCTACACTCTTGCACTTACACCCGAAAACACAAACAAACAGTGTATCTTACCTAGTGGATGGATGACGGGCCTCCACTCATCCAAGGCTTTGTGTAACCACTGGGAGAAGCGTGTGTAGTACTGGTCAGAGAAGATATCATCCACCCGTCCGTTTTCAAATAGGTACTGCCAGCAGAAATAGAGAAAGGCATTAACAACCTCAGTCAATTGTAATACACAATACAAGATACTGACAGAAGTGTATGTATGCATGTATGTATATATGTATGTATGGGTGTGTGTGCGCGTGCGCACAGTGGTGTAAAGTACTTAAGTAAAAATACTTTTTTGGGGGTATCTGTACTTTACTATTTATATTTTCACAACTTTTACTTCAATACATTCCTAAAGAAAATAATGTACTTTTTACTCCATACATTTTCCCTGACACCCAAAAGTACTTGTTACATTTCGAATGCTTAGCAGGACAGGAAAATGGTCCAATTCACGCACTTATCAAGAGAACAACCCTGGTTGTCCCTACTGCCTCTGATCTGGCGGACTCACTCAACACAAATGCTTTGTTTGTAAATGTCTGAGGGTTGGAGTGTGCCCCATGGCTATCAGTAAATGTAGAAAACAAGAAGAAGGTGCCATCTGGTTTGCTTAATATAAGGAATGTGAATTGATTTATACTTTTACTTTGATACTTATGTTTCTTTTAGCAATTACATTTACAAGTAGCATTTTACTGGGTGACTCACTTTTACTTGAGTCCTTTTCTATTAAGGTATCTTTATTTTTTACTCAAGTATGACAATTGGGTACTATTTCCACAACTGTGAGTGTGTAGGATGTCAGTAAAAATGTGTGGGTGTGTGTGTATTGTGGATATGTCAGTGAAAATGCATCCTTTCTGTATGGATATGTGAATTTCATTGAGAATGTGTCCTCCATGTGTAGTAGTGGTGCGTGTACCTTCTGTATACACAGGAAGATGTAGTAGAGGGCGTCAGGCTCAAACTGTTCTCCTTCCAACCCCCGGGCCTCTTGGGTCATAAGGGCCAGAGCCACATTGAGCTCAGCCACCGCACTCGACACCAGGTCCTCCTGGAAGCGCAGGGCCTGACGACCTGCACAGAAAGACACAGGTAGAGAAAAAGGTCAGATAAATAAGGACATTTTTATCCAAACCCCGACTAATAGAACTGTCAATATTCAGTGGAATATATTCAGTATTCGGAATCAAACCAACAAAACAGAGACAGGAAGGGAGGAGTGTGAGAAAGAGATAAGTACACATACTTGGAGAGGGCGGTTTAATGAGTGAGTGGGAGTCTGTGTTGTGTTGACTCACGTCCGATGGGCGCCAGCTTGTTCTGCTCGTCTTTGTCCAGCTCTGTGTTCTTGCGCTGGACCCAGAGGCGCCACACGTCCAGGCCCTCCTCAGGCTTCAGGGAGATGGGCAGCAGCAGCTCCTGGGGGGCCTCCACCTGGGACTCTGACTCTATGTGACCCTGCAGGGGGACACATTAGAAGTTCAATGTTAACACGCACACCACCATACTTCTCCGATTTGTGGTGCGGGGAATTACAGCCCTTGAGTTGACTTCATTGTAGAAGAGATCAATTTCGCACACACAAAATGTAAGGATATTTCTACACAAACACAGAAAATATGGGACCTTAAAACTAGTGACATGGAAATTAGCTTCCAAAACACCACAATAGGCTGAAGTGTTACATTAGTCAAACCAATCATCCCCTGCTTAACTGGGGGAGACTACAGCCTAAATCTACGTCATTGTTGTGGAAAACCTTGAAATCTGAGGCAAAGACAAAGTCAAGGTCTAACCCAGGTAATGTAGGTCCTGTTCTGACCTGTAGGTGGAGCTGGTGCTCTTGGTGTTCCTGCTGCTGCTGGGGATCCCAGATGTGGAGCTGCTGCGTGGTGTTGTAAGCCCCTCCCACCGTCTGCACCACCACAGGGCCGTGAATGTTCCCGTTCATGAACTGCGCCGGGAAAAGCGTCTGCACCACTTCCTCGTTCGTCGTTGTCTCGGAGACTGACACCGTGGCGCCCGACTGGACAGACACAGCCCCCGACGACGAGGAGTGGGCCACCCTATTGTCCTTGTTGTCGTGGTGACCAGAGGACACCTGCATCGTGTTGTAAGCCTCCTGGGGGATGGTGATGTGATGCACGCCCCCCTGCTGCCCACCGGAGTACACAGGGATGGTCCAGGTCTCCCCGGCAGGGCCTGTGATGGTACCCGTAGTGCTATACAGGTGGGTGCTGTCCACAGTAAGCAGGTCGGGCCGGAGAGACAGGAACTGCTGCTGCTGCCCCTGCCCCTGGGGGAGGGCCAGGACCACTTGCTGGCCCTGCTGGCCCTGAGGCAGGGCGTACGACACCTGGATGGGGATGTCCACCTTGCGCTTCTTGGCGGGTTGGAGGACGCTGGTGCCCGCCCTCCTCTCTGCCTCACGGGGAGAGCCCTGCTGCTGAGGAGACATGGCCTCCACCGTCTGGAACTGGATCTGCTGCCCACCCTGTAGTTGAATATGTTGACCACCTGGTAGCTGAATGTGCTGGATTTGTTGCCCGCCTTGTAGCTGGATGTGTTGACCCCCTTGAAGTTGGATGTGTTGACCCCCTTGAAGTTGGATGTGTTGACCCCCTTGAAGTTGGATGTGTTGACCCCCTTGAAGTTGGATGTGTTGACCCCCTTGAAGTTGGATGTGTTGACCCCCTTGAAGTTGGATGTGTTGACCACCCTGTAGATCCCCTTGAAGCTGGATGTGTTGACCTCCTTGGAGCTGAATTTGCTGGCCCCCTTGTAGTTGAATATGCTGGATTTGTTGACCGCTTTGTAGTCTAATTTGTTGACCTCCTGACACTGCTGCCACCAACTGGGCCTGAATCTGAAAGCGACAGAACAAATACCTGAGCCTGGTGTATACAAAACCAATACATTTACCTGGTGAGTAGAGTACACAGGGTGAGTGTGTGTACTCAATAATGCAGAGTTGTGCGTGTGTACCTGCTGGTGCTGCTCCTCTGTGAGCTCTCCTTGCTGGACCAGCTGTGCTGCTGTGGGGATGCCCTGGAGGTCCACCGTCTGACCCTGCTGTCCCTGGATCTGCACCTGTTCACACAGGGAAGGAGAATAAACACAGTGCACCATACACTTCTGTCACATCCACCATGCGTTACATGCCACATGTCTGAGGGTGGTTAGGGTCGGTGTTTCCCTGACTATTGTATTTTCCACTGATCATTTTGGTTATAGGCCCTGGATGTCGATAAGGAGGCCATTAGGTCCAGTCTGGAAAACAATTGAGTGGAAATCGGTAGGGTGAGTGAGATAAGGCCTTACCTGTACTTGTATCTGCTGCTCAGACCCCTGGTGCACACCAGCAGCCATCTGGGGTGAGATCTGTGCAGAGTTCACCTGCACCTGTTCATCCACAGGAGAATCAATCAATCATAGAGCAAAAGTGACAATGATAGCAGCAATAAGATGGGTAGTACCAGTGTTGAAGAATGAGTTGGGCTTTACTCTCAATTTAGTCAACTGATCTGTTCTTCAAAGTATATAGACTAGATAAGGGAAAAGGGCACTCGGCAGCCTGAGGTGTATTCAAAAGAAGTGAACTACTTAAGGAACCACATAAGGTCACTCCTCTTACCGGACAGGCCAGCTCCAGCAGCGAGCCAGCCACCTCAGTGCTGTCTGTGTAGACACAGTTGCCCCCCTGCTGGTACACCATGGTGGTGGTGCCGCCATCCTGCTGGCTGAACTCCTGCAGTGCCTCGGGGCCCTTGTTGGCCAGAGACTCCAGGAACTCCTTCATACGGTGCTGGGGCACACTGCGGGCCTTCTGACGCACGTACTCGTCAAACGAGACTACACCGCTCTCTACAGGCTCGTTCATGACAAGTCACTATGCCCTCCACGGCGCCTGCAGAGGAAGGAGGGGACATATGGTGCCTTCAAGACAACTGGGAACACTGACAAAAACTAGGTCAAATCATTCGGTCAGTGATCTTCAGGTTAGAAAGTCGGAGCTCTAGAAAGAGGCCAGAGTTCCCGACTTGGAATTCCAAGTTGGATGACCATTCAAAACCATTTTTCCCAGTCTGAGGTTGTTTTTCTCAGAGTTCCTGGTTGTTTTTAATGCAGCAATTTTTCACACACCTATACAGCATCACCAATTATTTTTTATATTTTTTATTTCACCTTTATTTAACCAGGTAAGCCAGTTGAGAACAAGTTCTCATTTACAACTGCGACCTGGCCAAGATAAAGCAAAGCAGTGCGATAAAAACAACAACACAGAGTTACATATGGGGTAAACAAAACATAAAGTCAAAAATATAACAGAAAATATATATACAGTGTGTGCGAATGTAGTAAATTATGGAGGTAAGGCAATAAATAGGCCATAGTGCAAAATAGTTACAATTTCGTATTAACACTGGAATGATAGATGTGCAAAAGATGATGTGCAAATAGAGATACTGGGGTGCAAATTATAAAGACTACAGCCCCTGTCATCAATACAGCCTAACATCTCAATGTCTAGTATACATTTAAAGGCCAAGCTACCTAACTGTTTGCATTAGAGGGGGAGATGAAGCGAGATGGGGCTAAAGCGCACAGGCAAACCCCTTTCTTTGAACTTTGAACCAATTATTACGCCATCTGGTCACCTGGCACTATGTTCTGAACACTGCCCCAAGAAAGCAATAGGCCGTTGTGGTCAATGACGAGTACATCATTGGTTGTGGTACACAATATCTGTCTTTGAAAAAATATGACAGTTATTATTACTATGATGTTATGATTAGTTAGCTAGTTACATTTACTACTGGGGCAGCGTAAAGAGCCATCAGCCTCTGCATCATTAGCTATCTATCACATGATTACTTTAGCTTATGTTTGTCTAATCTAGCTGTCTAGTTTAGCTAGCTACTACAATCCCACAATCTGAATGAAGTCAACATTACAAAAACAAATAAATTGTGTATTTGAGTGATGAATATACGTGCAACTTTTGCAATGTATTCTACAATAGCTAACTAACTAGTTGCTAACGTTAGCTGGCTAGCTAACTAGCTACCAGGGCATCTTCCCATGCTACCTTAAATAAAACCAAAACCCCTCCGTTCCGCCAAGGCACGGCATTCAAAAATAAAACACGATAAACTCCAAGTAATTTGCGTTCCAAATGACACTTGTCAAATCTTCCATTTTATAGCGACGCAACAAATTGCAAGAATTATGAATTTAAACAGCTAGCTATCCAACTAAACAATATCGTAACGTTAGCTTGCTAGCTTGCTACGTCGTGTGCGTATTTCAGCGATATTTACCCTCGTTTCGATGAGAACAATATGGGGGAAATCCACACGCCTTTTGGCTCGCCCAGAGTTTATCCAGTATAATTCTGAGCGTTTGGCGATAATATTTGTCTAACTACTACTATTCAGATAAAAGTATTTCATCAATACAGAGAGAATTAACGAAGTAGGCCCGATGGAACAACGTGAATCCCCGGACTTCTGTGACAATCAACGGCCGCATCAGACAGCGAGTAGGTCGCGACGCTCATTCGGCTACACCGCAAATTCTCCACTTGCAAGTCTAGCCAACAACACATTTCATATTTACGGGAACGAGCATCGCGTGCCCCGGAGACAGTAGATCGGTGCCAATCCAGACAACTATTTTCTTGTTGCACGACATAAATTATTTGATAGTAATAAATAAGGTGTTCAATTAGATAATTTAGATAATGTCAACATACACTTACTTATGAGAGGAAACTCTGTGTGTGTGTAATGCATCCAATGATACATCATTGCCTGTAGTAATCCTGCAGTGGCTATGCTGTGTAAAGTTACAGCGTAGCCACGCAATAGCCAAGCACAATTACTTAGAAAAAAAACCTAAACGTCCCTTGTCAGTCACGAATATTCAATACAATTATATTTTAATTTAGCCTACTCTGCTGATTATCTGTGGGGTTGGTCTTTCAGTGGGTCGAAATTTGAGGCTATCTCAGTCTGATTTATTAGGCAACATTGAATGCTTTCCATTAATTGTCCTCTCCCTTCTGTTCTTTCTATCAGTCTGCTCTAAAGTCTGTCTTATTTCTTTATTATTTCTTCCCTCTGTCAATGAGTGTTGTTGAGACCTTGTGACAATGCACTTTAAATAAAGTTTGACATTACTTGTAATTATTCAAGCGAAGTTATTTATCTGCACTTCTGTACATTTGAACACCTTATCAGCACCTGTATTGGAGTCCAGCTCGCCCCCGCGACATATGGATCGCGCGCATGTACGCGAACAGCGCTCGCAATGTTGTAGTAGAGAACCTCCACCCATATCCTCGTTATTGTAGTGGGTTTACCTGTTACAATGGCCAACGGAACATCTCCTTTAAATAAGGATGTGACTTGTAAATCCTCCCAGGCCCAGACTTTTTTATTTGACTAATAATTAGCACTTTTCTTTCAACATTTAATTGATCAATTTCCTACACATTTGTTGGAAGGCACCATCTTATATTGAGATTGAATGGGTATGCACATATTCTCACGATTACTCGCTAGGAAAGGGTCACGAGTATGGCATGCATGCAAGCAGAGAAGATATCCTGCAGTATTGAGGCTCAGTATGAGGACATGTAAGGACTATTCTCTTCAAAGAATCAAGAAGTCTTAGAGGATCAATGTCAATATTTGAGAAGAAACATAGAGGCACAATATGCTGTCCTCATACTGAATCACCTCCATTCTTATTTTTTTTCCACAGTGAATAATGAACTCTGAAGGTTTGCATACAACCCTGGTTCTTAAAGGAGAAATCCACTCAAAACTATATTTTGGTATTGTTTTCATTAGTCCACTGTTGATGTACAGTCCCAAAATGTTTTGCATGTCAGCAGTCAAGTTTTCAAGATATTGGACTTTCAAGAAGCAAATTGTCACTGGCCTCATGATCATGATGATGCAAAATGCAATATCTTGAAAACTTGACTGCTGACATGCAAAACATTTGGGACTGTATGAACAGTGGACTAATAAAAACAAAATAATAACATATCTTTTTTCAGTGGAGTTTTCCTTTAAATCCCTGTCATAAGTGGCACAACAAATGTACATTGCAATAGCAAAATGAGTTGCACATGTAATACTGTGCAATTCATATGTTAAAGCCTATGCTTTAATGTTGAAGTGAGTGTTAAACTGACTGTTAAGGTAAAGAAAACCTAAGTTGGATGCTTACACACTGTTTTCTGCGTAAAGGTTCATTTTGTTCAGAAGTTAATATTCAAGGTTCATTTGGATGTATAACTTTTGTGTGTGTATGTGCCTTTAAACAGGAATACAACTGCCCCAGTCTGCCTTAAAGAGCCAGGCATGTGCCAGTGAGGGCCTACCCCTGCTCTCCCCACAACAGGCTGCTTCTCAGCTCTCTTAAGGTGGACCAAAAGAGATGTGCTGCATGTGTATAGTACTTTGTTGGGACAGTGGACAGGAAAGAGTTAATTCCCACGGTCTCTCCTCTAGCCTCTCTGTGATCCCATGGAGGGCTGTCCAGTGGATATGTTGATGACTCCCTTCCCCAGAACACTTCTAATAGACCTCATCACACCTAATAATATGGTACACACGCCACAGGAGGCTGCTGAGGGGAGGACGGCTCATAATAATGGCCAGAACAGAGTGAATGGAATGGCATCAAACACATGGAAACCATGTGTTTGATGTATTTGATAACATTCCACTAATTCCACTCCAGCCATTACCACAAGCCGACGCGTCCTCCCCAATTATGGTGCCACCAACATCCTGTAACACACAGATAACACTACTCATACTCAAGTTAATTCACATGAGGTGTGTAGGATGAGAGGTGGGATGTTTATTTGATCACAAACTGTACACAATACATGATGTCAACCTGTTTTGACTTGTTCACAGCATACACAACACAGTGCACTATTTTACGATTGTGGAATGAGAGGCCTGCTCATGGAATATTGCTGCTTAGTTTGTATACGTTTGTAGTGTATAAGAACAGGAATACGTTCTTATTTTAGTGTGTAAAGTTTATTAAGTATGTGAGTGTATAAGAATGTATCTTACTTTCTGTAAACTAGTCTGTGTTTGTGGGTTGACAGTGAGACCAGAGCGGTATTTACATTTACATTTTAGTCATTTAGCAGACGCTCTTATCCAGAGCGACTTACAGGAGCAATTAGGGTTAAGTGCCTTGCTCAAGGGCACATTTACGTCATTTAGCAGACGCTCTTATCCAGAGCGACTCACCAATTGGTGCGTTCACCCTATAGCCAGTGGGATAATCACTTTACAATTATTATTTTTTTTTGGGGGGGGGGGTAGAAGGATTACTTTATCCTATCCCAGGTATTCCTTAAAGAGGTGGGGTTTCAAATGTCTCCGGAAGGTGGTGAGTGACTCCGCTGTCCTGGCGTCGTGTGGGAGCTTGTTCCACCATTGGGGTGCCAGAGCAGCGAACAGTTTTGACTGGGCTGAGCGGGAACTATGCTTCCGCAGAGGAAGGGGAGCCAGCAGGCCAGAGGTGGATGAACGCAATGCCCTCGTTTGGGTGTAGGGACTGATCAGAGCCTGAAGGTACAGAGGTGCCGTTCCCCTCACTGCTCCATAGGCAAGCACCATGGTCTTGTAGCGGATGCGAGCTTCAACTGGAAGCCAGTGGAGTGTGCGGAGGAGGGGGGTGACGTGAGAGAACTTGGGAAGGTTGAACACCAGACGGGCTGCGGCATTCTGGATGAGTTGTAGGGGTTTAATGGCACAGGCAGGGAGGCCAGCCAACAGCGAGTTGCAGTAATCCAGACGGGAGATGACAAGTGCCTGGATTAGGACCTGTGCCGCTTCCTGTGTAAGGCAGGGTCGTACTCTCCGAATGTTGTAGAGCATGAACCTGCAGGAGCGGGTCACCGCCTTGATGTTGGCGGAGAACGACAGGGTGTTGTCCAGGGTCACGCCTAGGCTCTTCGCACTCTGGGAGGAGGACACAGCGGAGTTGTCAACCGTGATGGCGAGATCATGGAACGGGCAGTCCTTCCCCGGGAGGAAGAGCAGCTCTGTCTTGCCAGGGTTCAGCTTGAGGTGGTGATCCGTCATCCACACTGATATGTCTGCCAGACATGCAGAGATGCGATTCGCCACCTGGTTATCAGAAGGGGGAAAGGAGAAGATTAGTTGTGTATCGTCAGCGTAGCAATGATAGGAAAGGCCATGTGAGGATATGACAGAGCCAAGTGACTTGGTGTATAGGGAGAAAAGGAGAGGGCCTAGAACTGAGCCCTGGGGGACACCAGTGGTGAGAGCACGTGGTGCGGAGACAGCTTCTCGCCACGCCACTTGGTAGGAGCGACCGGTCAGGTAGGACGCAATCCAGGAGTGAGCCGCGCCGGAGATGCCCAGCTCGGAGAGGGTGGAGAGGAGGATCTGATGGTTCACAGTATCAAAGGCAGCAGACAGGTCTAGAAGGACAAGAGCAGAGGAGAGAGAGTTAGCTTTAGCAGTGCGGAGAGTCTCCGTGACACAGAGAAGAGCAGTCTCAGTTGAATGACCAGTCCTGAAACCTGATTGGTTTGGATCAAGAAGGTCATTCTGAGAGAGATAGCAAGAGAGTTGGCTAAAGACGGCACGCTCAATAGTTTTGGAAAGAAAAGAAAGAAGGGATACTGGTCTGTAGTTGTTGACATCAGTGGGGTCGAGTGTTGGTTTTTTGAGAAGGGGAGCAACTCTCGCTCTCTTGAAGACGGAAGGGACATGGCCAGCGGTCAAGGATGAGTTGATCAGCGAGGTGAGGTAGGGGAGAAGGTCACCGGAGATGGTCTGGAGAAGGGAGGAGGGGATGGGGTCAAGCGGGCAGGTTGTTGGGCGGCCTGCAGTCACAAGTCGCAGGATTTTATCTGGAGAGAGAGGGGAGAAAGAAGTCAAAGCATAGGGTAGGGCAGTGTGAGCAGGACCAGCAGTGTCATTAGACTTAACAAACGAGGATCGGATGTCGTCAACCTTCTTTTCAAAGTGGTTGACGAAGTCATCCACAGAGAGAGAGGAGGGGGGGGGGGGGGGGGGGGGGGGGGGGGGGGGGGGGGGGGGGGGGGATTCAGGAGGGAGGAAAATGTGGCAAAGAGCTTCCTAGGGTTAGAGGCAGATGCTTGGAATTTAGAGTGGTAGAAGGTGGCCTTAGCAGCAGAAACAGATGAAGAAAATGTAGAGAGGAGGGAGTGAAAAGATGCCAGGTCGGCAGGGACTTTAGTTTTCTTCCATTTCCGCTCCGCTGCCCGGAGCTCTGTTCTGTGAGCTCGCAATGAGTCATCAAGCCACGGAGCTGGAGGGGAGGACCGAGCCGGCCGGGAGGATAGGGGACACAGAGAGTCAAAGGATGCAGAAAGGGAGGAGAAGAGGGTTGAGGAGGCAGAATCAGGAGATTGGAGGGAGAAGGATTGAGCAGAGGGAAGAGATGATAGGATGGAAGAGGAGAGAGTAGTGGGAGAGAGAGAGCGAAGGTTGCGGCGGCGCATTACCATCTGTGTAGGGGCAGAGTGAGTAGTGTGGGAGGAGAGCGAGAGAGAAAAGGAAACAAAGTAGTGGTCGGAGACATGGAGGGGAGTTGCAGTGAGATTAGTAGAGGAGCAGCATCTAGTGAAGATGAGGTCAAGCGTATTGCCTGCCTTGTGAGTAGGGGGGGACGGTGAGAGGGTGAGGTCAAAAGAGGAGAGGAGTGGAAAGAAGGAGGCAGAGAGAAATGAGTCAAATGTGGACATAGGGAGGTTGAAATCCCCCAAAACTGTGAGGGGTGAGCCATCCTCAGGAAAGGAACTTATCAAGGCGTCAAGCTCATTGATGAACTCTCCAAGGGAACCTGGAGGGCGATAGATGACAAGGATATTAAGCTTAAATGGGCTAGTGACTGTGACAGCATGGAATTCAAATGAGGAGATAGACAGATGGGTTAGGGGAAAAATTGAGAATGTCCACTTGGGAGAGATGAGGATTCCTGTACCACCACCCCTCTGACCAGATGCTCTCGGGGTATGCGAGAACACATGGTCAGACGAGGAGAGAGCAGTAGGAGTAGCAGTGTTTTCAGTGGTGATCCATGTTTCCGTCAGCGCCAGGAAGTCGAGGGACTGGAGGTTGGCATAGGCTGGGATGAAGTCAGCTTTGCGGTATATTACGACTGAAGCTAGATCTACAGGGGTTTCTAAAGCTAGCCATCTTCAATAAGCTTCCTATTCCAGCTCAGGCTTCATCCATACTACGACGGTGGATATTGCTCGTCAGCATCCCGCTCACTCTAGCAGGCTTGTAACTGCACGTGGCTAGTCGAACGACAAACGCTTCATTGAAACATTGCTGAAACGTCAAACCTGGGCAAGTCAGTGCCACATATTTTCATTTCAATTCAGCAGGCTATGGTGTGAAATAGGCTTTTAGAAGTGCTTTCTTTATTTTATATCTTTGGTGGGAGGTCAGAGCTCTAAACTACATTCGCAGCTTAGTGTCTGATTTAGTTCAACCCTGGCATACTGTGAATAAGCCATGAACTTGGCATCAAAACAATATGTGTGTTACTGCGGTGGAAAGGCCATGGCAGCACGTTCTGAGATAAGACTTACTATTTGTACATACAGTATGAAACATACTACACCTGTAATACATACAAACATTCTCAACATTAGTGGAAAATCCTACACTTATAACCACCCTAACTCAGCATTACACTCTTATGAGTATATTCTCATGCATATTTACATATACTGTGAAGTAAACTGTGTATCCATCCATCTTCTGCTTACCTTATCCCAAACCCTCCAACTACACTGAAATACACTAAAGAATACATCAATCTAACCATTCCTAACTAACCTTATTTCTCTATACATGTATGCATCTGTGTTTGTCTCTCTGTGTGTGTGTGTTTTGTTCTCTGCTGTCCTCGTGAACTGCTGGTAGCTTTGTGCCACTAATGATCTTAATGTAATCCTTGCATGATGAGATTACAGAACACAGCTGTGATATTGTATAGGAGAGAGCGAGAGACTCTGAGCATCACTCTAACAAATCCAAACAGGACAACTACAAATGGCTACACTTGACCCATGAGACCAACAGGAGAAAGGGGAAAGCCAGAGTGCTACCCAACAACACAACAAATGTGAAGCAGAGCTAAAGAATCACAGGTAGGCTTTAAAATAGTTTTATTTTTTATTGCTTTTGAGGGAAATTAAATTGGCATATTAAAGCATCTGTTACTGTGCCTCAAAGTTACTGAAAGAGGACTTATGCCTAAACGTTTTCAGATAACAGTGCCTTTGATATTTTAAGTAGAAATTATGCACCAATATTACATTTTATTTAATTAAATTAACTGCCCTTTAATATAGACCACGTGGAGAATTCAATAAATCTTAAATATGAATAAAGACATGCTAAAGTGCCAAAATTCAGCATTTTGTCATGGCCCTCCATGCACCATCTGTGAATTCTAGGAAGATTTTAACCCACTTAACCCGTAAAATGTCTCCAAGTTTTCACCATTATTGTAAAGCCCTAGTTATTTTGTTACTTTGACAAAGATATTTCTTAAGATAAGTATTTATTTCATGTGATTAGTGATTCATTTACAGCTGTCCCTCATTTTAAGGTCAACCCTGTTGAGTGAAATGAACTCTCGTTTTAATATGGTGAAACTATTGCTTTTTAAATATAAAAAAAAAAAAAAACATTGAACACCTAATAGTCAAGTCATAATGTAAAAGCAGGTGAGCTGGTTCTAGTCTCTCTGGCTTTTTTCTGGTGTTTTGTGGTGGAACACTGAGTGGGTGGAGTATAAGATATCAACCCTGTTACCCATAGATAGACAGGCAAGAAATGTTGTAACTTTATTTGTAATTTTGTGAAGCTTGCATTCAATTGCCCCTCCCTGTTGCACACAACAAGCTTTCATTACTCCTGTCATGAGGGGATTTATGGCTGATTTAAGCAATTGTCAACCCTGTTACGGTCAACCCTGTTATAGTCAACCCTGTTATGGTCTCAACCCTGTTACGGTCAACCCTAACACGGTCAACCCTAACACGGTCAATCCTGTTACTTTATTTGGCACTTAATAGGCACTTACTATAGTACTTTTTTTATTTAATCTTTTGAGACAGGAAAACTTTCTTTATGACAGAATGTTAAAATTAGGTGAAATCAATGTTGTTGTTTTTTAGCAAGTTACACTTCTCAAAAATTTGTGAAATGACCCAACTGTGTAAGTTTAGCAATATTTTGTCAACTCAAACGGCACATTTTTCAACTTGAATATAATAACAGATGAAGTAATAGTAAATTATGTGAAGATATGTAAGACAGAAGGATATTAGCTTGGCAATATTATTATTATTATTAGTAGTATTGTGTGTGTCTGTTGAGATATGTACAGTCTGCAAATGCCTGATACAAATCACAGTGAAATTAGATATCATATTTTTATGATGGTGTCAGATTGGACCAAGGAAACACTAATCTTGTGCACCAAACACTTCCTCCCCGTGCAATAACTTGGGGAAGAGGTTAAGGAAAAAAGCAAATAGGCTGTGACAAAGAGGGCACACCTCCAAACTTTCAGCAGATCAGACTGCTTGCAGCTGTATTTTTGTCAAGCTCCCCGACAGGTGTAAGCGTGCGTGCATGGCACATTTGTCACACACACACACACACACGCACACACACACACACACACACACACACACACACACACACAACAAAACACACACACACACACACACAGGATTACAGAGGTGATTTATTGGTTCTTAATGGATTGGAAGTGCAGATTAATAATCAGGAGGGAAGCTGTTTGACACCTTACCCTTAGCTCGACTTACCAAGCTGCTACTTAACAGCCCCACTGTTCACCCTGACAAACGTCATGTTACTAACCCGTTTACCTGCAAATTACCCTGGAAAACCCCATTACCTGACCGTGAACAACAACTCCCAGACTCATAGTCAGTGTGTCACAAGATAGCAGATAGTGAATGTTATCCATTAAAGTCACTTTGTCCAAATGGAGTGCTATGCCTGCCTGCCTACTGCTACGTCCTATAGTGGCTAGCCACCTCACTTACGTTTTCCTTTGTGTTGTTCAGCAGGTCTTCTGCAGGGTATGATTGCTGCTTCAAGGTTACATTGAGCAATGGTGTGGCTCTTATCTCTCTCCTTGGTGCTGGCCGCACTGCTTCACTGTTCACCTGGAAACATTATCAGGGCCACCTCCACCCCACCCTCATCCAGCAACTCTGACCATGTCCCACTCCCTGCATTCTCCAACTCCCTCAGCACCACCTCCAACACGAGTACAACAGCCCCCAAGCTCACCACGACACAACAGCCAAGGACAGACATCCTTCTGCCCACCGGCAGGATGCAGGTGCCAGGAAACAGGATTACCAGTATGGAGGACTTAGATGGGGCATTGATTGGCACATCACATGACAGTGATGAGTCTATGGATGATAGTGGACTTGGGGACACAGTTATAATAGAAAGTCAACAAGAGCCATCTGCCAGCACACCTCTTTTCACTTCTGCGCCAGGAAATGAGGAGAAGAAAGCGAAGGAACTTGAAGTGCATTCCTCCATCCCTACTTCTCTCTCCCTCCCTCCAATGCCCCCAAAACAGACCCAAGACAGTGTCAGCACAGCAGAACCAGCTGGCTTGCGAACGTCAGAGGATGTGCGTTCACCAGCCAAGAGCTCACTGACCAAGCTTACACTTAGAGCAACGTCTACATTTTCTTTGTCACCCATAGGGGACGACGACAGTGGACTCAATCTGGAACCTGTGTATTCTATTGTAGAGATCTCAAAACAAATGGAGCCAACTGTCAACTCGACATCAGAAATAAAATATTCTCCAAACCCATTAACTCGTCACAGCTCCCACCAATCTCCTAAACACACAATTACAGAGGCCACTCTCAAAGAAGAAGAAGAAGAAGAAGAAGAAGAAGAAGAAGGGTTTGGAGCACTGGAGGAGAATGAGGAAGAAGATGTGGATTTGTTAAAATACATTTTTGTGATTGACTCAATGGTTCCCATAAGCAGAGACAGTCGGGGAAAACAGTCCCACACCTCCACCCTGTCATCAGCCAATCCCAAACAAGCACCCATTGTGACAGGACAGTTTGGAAGAGGTAAGAGTTGCACAAGAGTTGACTCACAAAATATCAGAGTGTTTCCTCTGCTATAAATTCTATGTGCATGATTATTTTGTTTTTCAGAAAATGAACAAACTCAATCCATTCCTGACATACAATTAACTGAGTTGTCGGTACCATCATCACCTGATGTGAAACACATAATCCATCAATATGAAGAAAATGGTAAATGGCAATTTTGTTAGTTCTAAGTTGGGCAATTTCTCTTTCTCTTAATATGCTTTCTATATTACTTGATGAGATTGTAAACTATTACATTTCTCTCTCACCCCCTCCTCACTTTCTTAGTTAAGGGTCAACTCTGGCCTGCGCCCTCTGTCCGCTACGGTGTGTTTGGCCCCATAACACATCAGAAGCTGATTGGAGGCCCCTGTGTGCTAGGTCTTGGCCCCTGCGTGTTCCCTACCGGCACCAACGGCACCCTCCTTCTTTGGGAGGACCTGAGCCGCACGCTGGCCTTCGCCTGGGAGCTCCACGTCTATGGCTCTGCTGGACTCTTCCTGATGCTGTCCTGTGTGGCTGTGTTGGGAATAGTTGGACGGTCTAATATGCTCCACCCCCTCTGTGATGTCCTAACCCTGGCCAATAGGCTGTTGCTGCTGACCGGGGCTCTGCGTGCTGTCCTCCTCCTCACTGACCCGTATGGCACACGCCGGATACTGTCTCGGCCCGTCCTCACTGCCCTCTATAATCTGCCTCTGCTGCTGCTGCTGTGGGCACAGGTTGCCCTTGCGATGATTCTGCTGTCCCCAGCGCTGCAGCGCCCTCGTGTGGTGGGAAGTCTGGCAGTCTTACACTGTACTCTGCTGCTGGCAGCCGACCTGCTCTCCCCAACGCTGTCCGCTGCCCTCCCTCTGGTGCTACAGAGCCTCTCTCTCTGCTGGGGCCTGCCACTCTGCCTGGGCATTCTCACCCAGTCACTATCCCACCTGCACCCCTTCTCCAAGACCCCCATACACACGTGTGGGGCCCCTCAGAAGATTGAGGAGCGGGCAAGACGTGTGATGGCAGTGTGTGCCCTCCTGGGGGTGCTGTGCTCTGGCCTGCAGATCTACAGCCTGCTCTGGCTCTATGGGCTGCTGGGGGACTGGAGGCGCTTTGGCTGGGGCTGGTGGCTGGGGCAGTTCTGGGCCCGGGTGCTGGAGCTGTTATGGGGCTTCTCTATGCTGGTGCTGGGCTCCTGGGTGTTCTGGACCCCCCGGAGGAGCCGTGCCAGGAGCGATCACGGCCAAGGGAGGCCAGAGGGAGCATCGTTTTGGGACAGGGTGTGGAAAATCCTGCGGATAGGGCCTTTCAGGAAGTTTGAGAAAAACTGGGCAGAGCTCATACCGAAAAACTGGGCGGAGCAGCATCACTCGGGAGCAGACAGTGGCTCCATACGGGTCTATGACAATCCCCCCACCACACACCGCTTGAGGGACACCATGTCACCATCTCATCACAAGGGTGGAGAACCCACGACCAGCAGCAGCAGTGATACCCACCTACTGTGGCAGCGGGTGGGGGAGTGCGAGTGCATCCTCTCCGTCATAGAGTGCAACATGCGCCCCCAGTCGCCAATCAACCTCAGCCGCAGCATCGACAACACACTCCACCGTGACAACGGACACCTGCTAGGGGTAGGCAGCCACTTCACAGCCCCACCTCCTTCCACATGGACCCACCAAGCTGGTGCTGACACCTCGCTGGGGGACAGTGCGATCACACCCGCCTCTCTCACCTCTCTCACCTCTCCCACCTCTCATGTTGGCTGTAGGTGGGAGGTGGAGGCTGGCTCCAGGCCTGCAACTTCTGATCATTTCAGAGCCAAGGAGCAGGCACAGCCTGAGGCAGAGCCAAAGTCGGAGCCACAGCCACAGCTACTGGAGGCTTCTGATAACCAGATCCTCCAGCCATCTCCAACCCCTGAGCACCAGGAGGAGGTTCCAGACAATTATATATACATGTCTATTGTTCCAAACAAGGTGAATAAGCCAGGGATCACTCAGGAGGATGAAGGGTCCAGTGTGGGCAGCAGGGAGGATGTTACAGACCTATGAGCTGACCGTGATGTCATCATCACCTCATCCAATGCCCATGTCACTTCATATCAGTACAAAAGGACTTAGGTGGTTCCACACTGAACACTTGGCAGGGGAACATCACCACTCATCAGAAGTTTGATAAAGTCATATATAAGATATGAAAATATTCAGCTCTCTATGTTAAATTCACTGACTGTACTTTAACTCGATGTTCTCTTAATAAATATTTCAGTTAAAGAAGTGTACTTATGATTTTGTATTTGTATTCTAAAGTTATAATGTTCGTTGTGATATTTTTACCATCTCATTATGAATTTCAGTAAAAGATTACGATTAAGATCACTTTATTACACAATTGCACACAAGGGCCAAACGAAATGTGACTTTTAACCAAACCCCTCCGAAGGACACACATACTGTACAGGTTTTGGAGAGGTGCTGGGTCTGCGACACTGGACGTCCGGGGAGCTGTTGTTGTGGGAGGTTAAGTGCCTTGCTCAATTAGGTAAGCGGTTTAAATTTGGGGCAACTTCTAGCAGAGTCCTCAGTCTGTTCATACAAACGAGCTCAATTAAACAGAATTGTGTGTGCGACAGCATGCAAAAAACGATTCGAAGTGTGATGTCGTGGAAACATCCTTTATTGTACTTTATGGTGACAGCGACGCTGAGCTCTGTTGTAATGCCTTGCTATCGACAGATTCCAGACACAAGCATTCCTGTGCCAAAATATAACAAAACTGATCCGACTGTCCGTTCCGGGAGGCTTATAGTTGGTAATAATGTCCAACTGAGAAGGGTAGGTCTCGGTAGCACCAAAGATGAATCAGCCGCATCTGACAGCATTAAGACTCAAAACAGATCTCTGACATTTGCATTTGACGCTGGTTATCAGGCCGACCAACCTGCATCTCAAGGTAAGTCACAAGGCCTGATTTTTTATTTGAAAATAATTGGGGTAATCTGGAATTGGTACATGAGTTTAGTTAAACTGTTTTACCCCATCAGAACCAAACATATATGCTTGTTTTACAATTGTTTGAAAATCATGTAGCATAATACTAAAATGCTGTATAGCTTCAACACCTGGTTAGAACTATCATTTTGATCTCATGGATGGTTAGTCATTAGTAGTTCTTGTCACTAAGTATTGTTTATTAAAAAAAAAAAAAAATTGGAGACTTGAAAAAGAGATGATGCATCTCAAGAGTTCATCCTGCTAAATTTCAAATAAATAACATTAGAAAAATGAACTTTCGAAAAGTGTCACCCACATCTGGTTACAAACAAAGTTAAGTTCCTGCAATTCTATATACAGTGCATTCGGAAAGTATTCAGATCCCTTGACTTTTTCCACATTTTGTTACGTTACAGCCTTATTCTAAAATGGACACACAATACCCCATAATGACTAACCAAAAACAGGGTTTTGGAAATTTTTGAAAAAGTATTAATTATAAAAAACTGAAATATCGCATTTACATAAGTATTCAGACCCTTTACTCAGTACTTTGTTGAAGCACCTTTGGCAGCGATTACAACCTCAAGTCTTGGGTATGACACTACAAGTTTGGCACACCTGTATTTGAGGAGTTTCTCCCATTCTTCTCTGCAGATCTTCTCAAGCTCTGTCAGGTTGGATGGGGAGCATCGCTGCACAGCTATTTTCAGGTCTCTCCAGAGATGTTAGATCGAGTTCAAGTCCGGGCTCTGGCTGGGCCACTCAAGGACATTCAGACACTTGTCCCGAATCCACTCCTGCGTTGTCTTAGCTGTGTGCTTAGGGTCATTGTCCTGTTGGAAGGGCAACCGTCACCCCAGTCTGAGATCCTGAGTGCTCTGGAGCAGGTTTTCATCAAGGATCTCTCTGTGCTTTGCTCCGTTCATCTTTCCCTCGATCCTGACTAGTCTCCCAGTCCCTGCCGCTGAAAAACATCCCCACAGCATGATGCTGCCACCATCATGCTTCACCATAGGGATGGTGCCATGTTTCCTCTAGACATGACGCTTGGTTTTCAGGCCAAATAGTTCAATCTTGGTTTCATCAGACCAGAGAATCTTGTTTCTCATGGTCTGAGAGTCCTTTAGGTGCTTTTTTGCATACTCCAAGAGGGCTGTCATATGCCTTCTACTGAGGAGTGGCTTCCATCTGGCCACTCTACCATAAAGGCCTAATTGGTGGAGTGCTGCAGAGATTGTTGTCCTTCTGGAAGGTTCTCCCATCTCCACAGAGGAACTCTGGAGCTCTGTCAGAGTGACCATCAGGTTCTTGGTCACCTCCCTGACCAAGGCCCTTCTCCCCAGATTGCTCAGTTTGGCCGGGCAGCAAGCTCTAGGAAGAGTCTTGGTGTTCCAAACTTCTTCCATTTAAGAATGATGGAGACCACTGTGTTCTTGGGGACCTTTAATGCTGCATAATGTTTTTGGTACCCTTCCCCAGATTTGTGCCTTGACACAATCCTGTCTCGGAGCTCTACGGACAATTCCTTCGACCTCATGGCTTGGTTTTTGCTCTGACATGCACTGTCAACTGTGGGACCTTATATAGACAGATGTGTGCCTTTCCAAAACATGTCCAATCAATTTAATTTACCACAGGTGGACTCCAATCAAGTTGTAGAAACATCTCAAGGATGATCAATGGAAACAGGATGTACCTGAGCTCAATTTCGTGTCTCATAGTAAAGGATCTGAATACTTATGTAAATAAGATATTTTTGTTTTTTATTTTTAATAAATTTGCAAAAGTTTGTAAAAACCATTATGGGGTATTATGTGTAGATTGATGAGGAACAAATATTATTTAATCAATTTTAGAATAAGGCTGTAACGTAACAAAATGTGGAAAAAGTCAACGGGTCTGAATACTTTCTGAATGCACTGAATGTGTATTGAACACTATTCCAGAGGAAAAACAATACAACGTGGATGTTTTGGAGTCTGATAACTCTGAGGAGGACTTTGGGGGGAAAAGCACTTGAGTACTGAGTAGACTGATACCCTATTTCATTGATCGACAATCCTTAGGTAAGGCTGAACAGTGCAATATGAATGTCAATATGCAAAATAGGCTGACTGGGGTGATTTCCCACAGTCAATGTCCCTCAATAAGAGCTACAACGCTAATATTTGTGTAAACTCTTCACAGTTGTGTTCTGTGAGTGTCACTGAGTAGACTGGTACTCCATTTCATTGCTCCACATGCCAACACTCCAAAGTTGTTTAGCATGATCTAATCTAAACATGGCATGATTCCACTGTTTGTATTTATCCACTATTGTGGCTAATCCTTATTGTTGCTAGCTTCACAACACAAAATAATCTGAAACATAGCAAAGGGTCTGAATACTTATGTAAATAAAGTATTTCTGCTTTAGTTTTTTTAATACATTTGCAAAAATGTCTAAAAACCTGTTTTTCGCTTTGTCATTATGGGGTATTATGTGTAGATTGATAAGGAAAAGGTTTTATTTAATCCATTTTAGCATAAGGCTGTAACATAACAAAATGTGGAAAAAGGGATGGGGTCTGAAAACTTTCCGAATGCACTGTATTTTGCCACGAGCAGAGATTTTTTTTGCAGTTTAATAGCTAATCTCATGCTATTCTACACATTTTGCCATGAGGCTGAGAGAAAATGTTGCAGTTTTATAGCTAATAACATGCTATTCTACACATTTTGCAAAGAGGCTGAGAGAATTGAGCAATTTTATAGCAATTTCTTCTGCTATTCTACATATTTTGCCAAGAGGCTGAGAGAAAATGTTGCAGTTGTAAAGCAAATTTCTTCCAATTCTACACATTTTGCCATGGCTTAAGAGCCGACATCCAGGGGGTCCTTAACTGATGTGTTCGTATGCTATCTGGGGACCCCTTGGAGGTCGGGGCCCCAGGCACAGGAGGCCCCAGGGCACGTGCCTTACGTGCCTGTTTGGTAATCCGGCCCTAGTCCAGCACCATACCTCAGCTGTTTACCAAGAAAGTGGCAAGGTGCCACTTTGTTGTTTGAATCACAGATTGCCCCTTTAATGAAGGAAAATGTTTTAGCCTTTACAGACCCTGTTTATTCGTTTTCTTTCCTAGAATGGCACAAGTTGGATGCTAAACTCCAGCGCATGGGGCCATCGGTAACAGCAACGACGCAATGACCCTTAAGGTCAAAGGGGGGAGAGCTCCAAAAGTACCAGCCAAAAGTTTTAGAACACCTACTCATTCAAGGGTTTTTCTTTATTTTTTACTATTCTCTACATTGTAGAATAACAGTGAAGACATCAAAACTATGAAATAACACATATGGAATCATGTAGTAACCAAAAAAGTGTTAAACAAATCAAAATATATTTTATATTTGAGATTCTTCAAATAGCCACCCTTTGCCTTGATGAGAGCTTTGCACACTCTTGGCATTCTATCAACCAGCTTCACCTGGAATGCTTTTCCAACAGTCTTGAAGGAGTTCCCACATATGTTGAGCACTTGTTGGCTGCTTTTCCTTCACTCTCCGGTCCGACTCATCCCAAACCATCTCAATTTGGTTGAGGTCAAGGGATTGTGGAGGCCAGGTCATCTAATGCAGCCCTCCATCCCTCTCCTTCTTGGTAAAATATCCCTTACACAGCCTGGAGGTGTGGTGTGTCATTGTCCTGTTGAAAACAAATGATAGTCCCACTAAGCCCAAGCCAGATGGGATGGTGTATCGCTGCAGAATGCTGTGGTGGCTATGCTGGTTAAGTGTGCCTTGAATTCTAAATAAATCACAGTGTCACCAGCAAAGTAACCCCACACCATAAAACCTCCTCCTCCATGCCTTACGGTGGGAAATACACATGCGGAGATCAAATGACACGGCAGTTGGAACCAAAAGTCTCCAATTTGGACTCCAGACCAAAGGACCAAATTTCCACCGGTCTTATGTCCATTGCTCATGTTTCTTGGCCTAAGCAAGTCTCTTCTTATTATTGGTGTCCTTTAGTAGTGGTTTCTTTGTAGCAATTCGACCATGAAGGTCTGATTCAC